GAAGGATGTTTCGCACCAGAAACGAACCAGTGTTTATACATCACTGAACATACCCTCGTAGAGGATGAATTATGCGAATCGTCAAACAACCCTTTTTAAATATTTGCTCTATAATCGATTGTACAGTGAAAAATGTTAAGAGGGGGGGGATGAAGATACATCGGCAAATGGCTTCGTCGACCGTCGTTTCCCACCCGACCACTAACCATGTCTTCGAATCGGTTCATTACAGGTAATCTCATAATCATAATCTTCTCCTATTCAATCAAAACCCTGGCCCCAGTGATAGACTTAGCGTTTTGACCCAATCGCACTTAATCTTTAAAGAATTCGGATCGGTTTCCGAAAAGCACCCCGACCGCCGCGTCTACTGTGTTATGAACAGAAAAAGGGTTCTTTCGCTGACATCCCTTTCAACGGAAAGCAAATGCTCACGGAGATTTTCATTGACAGCTGAATATTGACATTCAGTGACGATCAAAATCGCTCTTGCGTTTGACTGGTAAATTTTTCAAAGAATAAAAAGTTCAGTGATTCGGTGGGATCTCAGCTATGGCTTGTGAAAAGTTTTCGTTGAGACCGCCTTGCTTTCGAAATCTTCACGGATTTTCCTTCACACCTTTGGCAGATTATTCCGTATGTCAGTACTTTCGATACTTTCAATCGATCAAAAAATCTTAGAGTTAGATAGTTTGAAGTTACTGAGCTACTTGAGCGAGTTAGTCATCCTAGAAGCACGAGACCTCAGACCTACTCAGTTCAATGTTCTATCAGTAATCCTTGCAACAGACCGAATTGCTGAATAATAATTATTCGAATAAATTTAGCAAACAGTAATCTCACTTTAACAATAACTGCATTTTGGCTTACCTCGACTTTTTTGATGAAAAATCTATAGACATCGGGAAGCAAATATTTTTTATAGTGTGCATCTTATCGTTAGAGTCCAACCTTAGCAAAAAATATTTGCCCCTTTAGATCAATGGGAGTGAGGACTGAATTTGGTATGTTGGTCCAGACCATTGATGTTTCTGAGTCGCTGCTACACAAACTTCCTAGAACTTTTTTACTTTACTTTTATTTTTGCTGAAGTGAGAAAGTCTGATCTTTCAACACATTTGTCAAAGAGACCTTGTCAAAGAAGTGTTATCCATAAATGGTTACAACTACTTTTGAGCCCCAAGAACCGCGTTTCCATGAGAGTTTGGGCCAGCAATCAGAGTACATACTCCATGGGGACTACAGTTTATCAATGAAGGTTGCATACCTGTCAAACTTACCGAGGAAAAACCGTTGGAAATTCGCATTCTAAAAGTAGGAGCAACTCAAAGAACATTATTAGGTTCGATTGTCAAGCTACTTGCCATAGAAGGTAACCAGATGTGGACCCTCTTAATCAAATTCATGTCGGAAAGCTTTCAAGTGTACTTTCTGAGAACTCAGAGAGCCCTGCACCGCTTTATGTCATCTTTTTAAGCTACCCTTTTGTCTTGGAGCCCTCCTTGTTTGATATGCATCCAAGAGGAAACTTCCTCCTGCTGAATATTCCAGTAATGACCCTCTGTTCTCTTCTATGAGCCAGTCCCGTTTTCTGTAGAATTCCACTAATTAATTTGAAAACTCAGCTTTTAGAAGTTTCACTTGGCCACAGCTTTGTTCAGCGGATCGATTGCTGCTCAGCCAAGCTCAGCGGCTGAGTGTTCGGTCCGATCGGAGTCTGATTACGATATCGGCTAAGATTTGGCAGGCAAAGATTGCACCACCAACGCTCACTGACATTGATCGGTGGGGGAGTGCATGGCGCGTTCGGAAGGATTGACTGGTATAGATCACACTGGCTGGTGATTTCTGTGTTCCAAAAAGGCCACCGATGCTCTTGCAGATGTAGCAACTTGGTTCGATTATTCTTGCGTGATGAACCTTCAAGTATACCATGTTGTACAAGTAGTTTACTTCAATTCTATGTTGTTACGGTAACATTGATTTGTGCCCAGTAAGCTGGTGAGTCTAGACGACTGTTAGGTGGTGGCAATGTTTGACAATGCTATTGTTTCAAGGGGGTGGATGGAGGGTGGAGAGGCAAGAACGAGCTTTGAGAGATCAGCAAATGTGCGCGTTCTCCTCGTAGACACCTCCTCAAATAACCAATTGGAGATCGTCGCTTTGTTACTGTCTTCATATTACTCCTTACTTACCTGTTCCGGATTATTGATTGATTCCACAACAGTCACATACTGTCATCAGAACTAAAAATTCGTCATCGTCGTCAAATCTATCTAATGCCGAAGCGTCCTGGCTCGGCTCGCCGATGTATTCTCAGATCGCAGAAAGCCGTCAACAGGTCGTCATCAGAATTTAGTGACGACTCAATTGTTTCCACATGGGAAAACGTGTTCGTTAGATTCAGTCTGGAGAAGGCTACTTCTTTGAAATTACTCCCATCTTACTTAATGCCCACTGATCAATCCAGGCATTCACTGTTCGCCGCTATTATATTCATTTTCTGCGTTGGTATTGTACTCAATTCTCGTTTCCGGAAGTTCTTCCAAGGTAAAGTAAAGTAAAACTCAAATTTGTCATTGTAACAACACCGAAGATAATGAATCTCCCTACAGTTATTCCCCAGGGATTCCTTGCCAGTCAATGATATCAAGAACCTTTTCACAGCCTTGACTACCAAGCCCTAGGGCATACTTCAGTAGCCATGGCCAAGCAGACCACAATACTATACCCGTCAACCCTTTTGTGTCAGGTAACTGGAATCATACGGAGGAAATGAATCCCAAAATGTCTATCACAAGGTTGTTTCTTAACTAAACTACCTACTCAAGGAACAAAATAATGACATCCATCCACTGGTGCCCCATGTAAAGTGGCGGCAATACGAAAAGAACTGAGTTAAGAGGTTCGCGCTCATCGAAGCCTCCCTTCCATTTTTTAGGACGAGTACGCGAGCACTAAAACAACAGTAGCAGACTAGCCTGTAGGACTGAGGATGAGGAGCTGTTTGGGTTGAATATGTAAGAAGTAGCAGGGTCACTGTGTAAGAAATACGTTTGTATACTCTGCTACCATTGATGGTCCCTACAGGTCGATTCTTCAGATCGATAAAATTTCATCAGTTATGAGGCGTACATTTCCTCAACGCTCATCTCTTTCTCTTTCTCTTTCCCTCTATTTTCACTTCTCCTATCCGAATTTGTATTTACAGAGAAAAAAGAACAACATAAGAGAATGTTAAAAGGAGGTGCCCCTCTAGAGAGAAATGCTGCCCCTTAGAAGCTAGAAAAATATTTGAACCTTCAAAAAAAAAAAAGAGTTCCGGTCTCAAAGTAGATCACAAGGCGTCACTACTGCTTGGTGACATACTTTTAAAGCAGCAGTAACCTGGCACGTCCCGGTCCATAATCATCCTGATCACATGAGTGGGTGGTGCAGGTGAACTGATAAGACGGATGGGGTGCGCTTCGTCGCGCGCGTCCGTCGAAACTAGTTCACGCCGCAGCCGTCGCACGCGGCCGGTCAGCCCGCGACACTTGACGGATGTCGCAATTGTCAATGGGGCATACGATTTGCGCTTGCTCCACAGCAGCCAGCTCACAAAGAATATAACACGGTCAAATGCATATTATTCGCTCCACTGACACTGGGTGGGACTGTAACGTGATGACCTTAGTGGGGTACACCGCGTGCGAAGTGGGCGGAGTGATACTTTCGACGGACGCGCGCAACGGACGTTCTCCAGACGGGTTGTGCTCCACTTGGCCATATGTCTGCAGAAGCCTATCCCTTACGTTCCACACATAATAATGCCACAAAAACTTATCCAAACTTCTAAGCGGTGGCAGAGGTCGTGTAGTGGCAAGCGGCGCACTTCACACACACACTTCGTCACGGGTTCGAATCCCAGATCGGTAAACGCCTAGGCCAACCAAACCGTCCATCCTTCCGGGGTCAGTTAATTGGTACAAGACTCGTTAAGGAGGATAGAAGCCTGTCTTGAACATCGACTGACCACCGCAAGTCATTGTATAAGCCACAAACGCATTCAATCCGCCACTGCAATTCTGACTAGAAGTCGAATGCGTGGGCGTATCCCTAAAACGAGTTCAATTTCTTAACTTCTTCCAATTCCAAAACTTTATCTTTTATTTTTGTCCTTTAACTACTAGACGGTGTCGAGGTAAGAGGAAATAGTACGAGCGTTAGCAACTGATTATCTTGCTTAGAGTCTGGCTTGCAAAGGCTCTGCAATCTTAGTAGAGACAGCGAACATTAAGGTCGTCGCGGAGTAATCCTCCTATGTATGTATATCATGTATTACAAGGGGAAACCTTTTTTGTAGATTCGAATAAAAAGTTTTGACGCTAGCTTCGGGAGCTTTAACAAAAGCCGAGAATGGAGTTCTTGGATCGAATAAGCAGGGTGTGGTGCAGTAGGAACGAAATTATCGCGCGGCGGCAAGAGGGAATCCGTGCACAAACGAATGTAGCGGAATGCAGCAGCAAATAAGAAATACAGGGACAAAGGAACGAATAGTAGAATCATGCCTAAAATAAGGATGGCATCTTGAGCTGTATGAAGGACGCTAGAGCTGTAATAACGAGGCGAGTGGTCTTCGACTGTCGCGCGCGGCGAATCGATTACAGAAAACCGTTCCTACTGCCCATTTTCCAAATGAGCACAGTCAAGAGCACAGTTGGATAAATGAGGAACTAAGGTAGCAAAGCCTTTTCCCACGCTTCCTTATCACTACAGTATGGTAAAAATGCTGTAGTATAAATCCAGCGTTTATCGAATCGCATAAATGAGCCTACAGGCCTGCGCTATAAACGTGCAAACGGTGCAAACGAATGTTCTGCAAAGTCTAGAATGCAAGTATCAATTGTTCTTGCGCATAAATCAATATGTGGGTTTTTCACTGAAGACTGTTTCCTCGACACCCATGTCCTTTGAAGAAGTAAAATGCCGCTAAAACGAATAAATTCCTTCTCATAGTAATGAACACAGTCATAATACTAGTAATTTCAGTGTTGGGTTGGGTGGGCGCAGAGATGATGTGGCTGATCGTGTGTTGGGGCCTGATGGCGTTTTTGTGCTACATGGCTCTCAATCACCTCGGCACTGGTACCACCGACGAGTCTTCGAAGACCATTCTGTCGTCGGCTCAGAATGCGCCAAACCGCCTTGATGGGTAAGTGATCGAACTTTTTCAACGGCAATTCACCATTTTTTCAAGGGCCTTCAGTGTAAACTGTTCCTCAATGTAAGGCTCGTCAATCAATGTCAAAACATCGATTTTCTTTTTTTCCGTTTCCGATTTTTGCAAAGTTCTTTCCAAAAGTTTTGTGCACAAGACCATTCGTCGTGTGCATGGTTACTACCGGGAATATGGGCCTAGAATAGTTGCGAGCTCAGAGGCCTCAAACAATCCCTCTAACTTCAAGAAGAAACTTGCCCACTCAATGAATTGGTTGAAATAATTTTGTTCAGAGGAAGCGATCCAACCGGTAACTTTCGTAGGAAGGGGCACACAGATTTATGCTGAATCGGGTCCTTGTAATCATCGATTTTAACTTGTAATACGCAACAAGTACAGTGACTTGACTTCTTCCTCAACTTCTTTCAAACGCTACATTTTTTAACGCTTTGACGACATGGCACCCACCGCTGGGTGCCACTACGAATGGCGCATGGGATGTTGGCACCCAATTTTGGGTGTCACCATACTTGTTTGTTTCTCACGCAATTGCTAAATTCAGTAAGCCAGTGAAGGAATTCTTTCGTGGGACATTGCCACACACCGGTGGGTGCCAGTCGCCTGCGAAAAGAGGGAGCGCGGTCCCATGGGCGCGTCACGTTGAAATCCGCATTGTCGTCAAAGGGTTAAAAGAAGCCGGGTAACAGGTAGACAAGAAACATAAAGTGGATGCCTGTTCCTGGTGTGATGAGTAATTTTCGAGGTCATAGATTAGCAGGAAGCATCCGTTACCGGAAACCGTGTGACAGCCCTGAATATTGTAGGGTTGTCCGGGATCCAGTACAAAGGTGGAGACGTAGATGCCCAAAAGAGAACTAGAAGAGCTTTGTTTAAGCGACTGTATTGTATCTTCGTCTTCTTACAATCTTCTTATGGCAATGCCAAGTGCCAGTCGCCATGGGTGCTGAGATCCTTGACAACCTTAAATGAACAACTTCTGTTCGGGTGACCTGTTTGTGATTGCTTTTCACTTACTTCATTCGTATCCTCGTTCTAATTACCCATATCATCCGAGGTCTCAATACAAAAAAAAACTAAAAAAAAGTCCCAAGTGACGGACCACTCATCCTCTCAAAATGTAGTCGATGGGAGACGGGCAGTAGGAATGATTTTGTGTAATTGATCCGCCGCACGCGGCTGTCGCGAACCATTTGCCTCGTTATAACAGTTTTAGCGTTCTTCATGCAACTCAGTCGCTATGCGATTATCACTTTTGGCATGATTCTATTATACTATTAGTTCCATTGTTCCTCTATGTCTTACTTGCGGCTGCAGTTTGCTACGCTCCTTCCGCGCGACGTCTGTCTCGCGGCGACGCGACAATTTCGTTCTTACTGCACCACACCCGTAGTTGATGATCATTCGCACGCATACGTGGTGTTATCCCAGGGTACAAGTCACGACAAACACGACAAATCCACAATTCATGACGAAAGACGGAAATTTGCACTTAGATACTTTGAGACGAGTTTCGTGAGAATCCGTCCACTTCCTTCCCTACACCCCTCCCCCACCGCTGTGCGTTAAATATGCGCCAGGCCCTACATAAGGCTTTGTATCGGCTTAGAATTTGCTGTGTGCATTTGATGAAAATCGATTCAACAAATTTTTGATAAACGGGCAGTTGCATCATTGAACTGCATACGTGCATCGAGCCAGCAAACTAAACTGGAACAAGACAACTAGCCAGAAATCGCCCCACTCGTGAGTCGATCGGAGACAGGAGTGAGCAGTGGTTACAACGCAACTCTTGTCACTCTTGTCCCCAAACCATTAACCTGAAAACCGTGTTCAAATGCAATTTTATGGTCTTCGGAAGTTTTTGAACTCGATATAGGGCTTTCAAATGGTATGGAATCAAAAATACACAGCCGTGGTCATTCTCTAATCCTCCAGATTTCCACAAAATTGAAGGAGTGCACTTCGAAAGCTTAGATTGATATAAAAGTGGAGTGAATTCTATTTAAACCACCCTAAGTACCTAACTAAAGTTTTCTTTATACATCTCGAGTGTCAGAGTTTTCAGGTTGGTAGAAATGTTTAGATGCTCAAGTACCTCGATATTTCGAGTGGGTAAATACCAAATGCACTCTCTGAGCCATAGTGCACGGCCATCGTTCATCACAGAACATTTTTTCAAAATTACAAAAAAAAAAATACCCAACATGAACTATAATAATATGAATAATGATACAAATATATAACTTTAATTGGATTCCCGAGTATTACAGCTCGAATAGCGAATGGACGAACGAAGTGTTAGCCTGGATATATAATAACTATCTTAAAGTACCCGGACCTTTGGAAGCATGGATAAAGTCTCTAAATGACGCCGCGAAAAAAGTCAACAGACCTGTGAGTACTTATTCCACAGTAATACTTTTATGATGGCACATGGATCTGTAATCTACACCTCCATGTGACCTCACTGAACCGAATATTTGTCGATTTCAGACAGAATGTGAGGTAGTTTTCGATGGATTTCGGGACCATCGGCAAGTAAAATCACCGCCAAAGGTCAGCAACATCAGAGTTGAGCATGGACCTCGAGAACATTTGGTTAGTCTTATAATTATCATTTTTACTTCGTTCTAATTTCGATCACGATTGTTACCAGGGTGTGTTGAGATTTCTTGGAAATCCAGCTGAAACTTTGGCCATGTAGTGGTCGGGTCCGATCGTTTGGTACCAGGTTCGTCTGGAAGTGTGAAACACTGGCATGTACATCATCTGGTCTTTGGAAGTCTTTGGATAGGCCACAGACGCATTCGAAACGCTACAAAGATTCCGTATAGAAGCCGAATGCGAGGGGAAACGGGCAGTTGAATCGGTTTCATGTAATCGATTTGCCGCACGCGGCATTTGCGGAACAGTTGCCCCGTTATTGCAGTTCCAGCATTCCTCATACGGCTCGATCGATATGCGATTTTTACTTTCAGTATGATTCCACTGTTATTTCTTTTGTTTCTGTATTTTTTACTCGCTGCAATGCTCCTGCTTCGTTCTGCTATAGTACTTCGCGTGCGGTGTCGCTCTCGCCGCTGAGCGACAATTTCGATTCGACTGACAACGTTCTCAATTCGGTCAGTTACAGATGGAAGGATGAAGGGTGAACCTCCCAAAAACGGGACCGATTGAGATTGAAAATTATATCCTTCATCCTTCTACCTACAATTGATCGGAAATGAGGATATACCATATATATATCAATAATTAGAAGTACCCCTTCTATCAAATTCTGACAAAATGACACAACCCTCTTTGTCACTCTACAACACAACGCCAGCGATGGCAAGCAAGTCAGTATAAACGAACATTTTCGATATTTTACTTTCTGATCACTATTCGCAAGGATATCGACGAAATCAGTCCTTCCTATTCATAGCATGAGCCACGGCTCAAAAGGGGCATGATTGGGAGTGCATAGCGTTGAACTGGGTGCGCGGTAGTTCCTAGCTATATAGTTGTCTCGTGGCGCGCTCTCTTGGCTAGTTGTCTCAGTCAGCTGTTTCACCGCGCGACATGCCACTCGACACCAGCACTCGTTCTTCACACAATCCACATAATTCTACGGTTGAGAGTACTGTTTATTTACCTAATTGTCCTGCAAAAAAACTGTTGAAAAAAGGGCCGACTGTAGTACATGCAAGAAGTGCTTACCTGATGAGTGCAAACCAAACAAAAAAGTTTCGAAAGGTGGCAGCGCTTCGTCCTGCAATGACTCTGAAAGTTCACGTAAGGCTGACTTTCTAAAGAGATAGAAAATTTTCAATTATTTGAGAGATCAATGTACTACTCTTGTTGGAAACGATTGAAAAACTTTGGAATTGATAATTCGTAACAGTTACCAGTTGCAGCACAGTATCTATTCAAGCGGTTTCTTCGATGTTCAACTGATTTCAGACCCTGAGAGCAAATATTCATCTACCATGTGTATGCCTTAAAGTCGTTTCATCTCAGCGAACCCCTGAGAGGCTTTTGGTCAGCAATTTTGATGCCAACATAGTGGATCTTCGTGGAGAGGTTAGTGTTATTAAGATGGTTATTGATTGAATCATTCTCAAAAATAAAATAAATCAACCCACTGTTCCACTCTCATGAGATTCATAGCATATGTGAAGGTAGCGAGATTTTTCCTTTCATTGTACTAGTAAACCCTTCATGCTCTTGAACCATGGGACCACTTTGATGGAGCAAAAGCTCCCAATTCGAAGAAATCAGCGGCGCCATCGTCTTTTGAGTGTACAGCATAGCTCGCAGGACGCATGGGCAAATTATTATGGATCGTTCGATATCCATTAGTAACCTTAATGAATGAAATGGCTTTTGCACAACAACACGGAAGCATGGGTAGATCATTTCAATAAAACGATACTCTTGCAGGTAGAATGCCGATTTGCATGTATCGCTAATCAACTTTTTCTAATGGGATGTTTCAATGGAAGGCCGGAAATGGACATTGAACTAACGAACGCGGACAGCAGTGCAGTCAGTGTTTTTCAGATGGTTTCAAATCTGCACTGATTTTCCTAACAGAATCAATGGAAAACGAATTACTGTTACGACCGTTCGGCGCTTCTCTTAAACGCTGAAAGCGTGAGCGCAGAGAAGAAGGGTAGTCGAATGGGTGAGCCGGTAATGATGCTAAGGAACGTTTCTTAGCAGAGCGGGTTAGATTTTTTCAAACTAAGCCTTAGAGCTTTATGAGGGAAAGAAAACCTTGGTGGGTGAGTCGATTGAATGTTCAGTTCTTCCTGATCTCAGCTTCTTGCACAGGGAGTTCTTCTCACCCACCGCGGCTCGTAGGAGCTGAGCGTTTTCACTGCTTTTCTATGTTAGCATCTTGAAGTAGGGTTTTTAATGACATCATCAAGATCAACCAGTAAACCCTGGCCCTCCCCTTCTGGCCTTCTTTTAACGCTGATCTTCTGTAATGATCAGTATGAATAAGCAAAAGTCAATCGTTCCATACTGTGCAGCGTTTTCAGCAATCACAAGTTTCCCTCGGACTGGTCGAAGAAAAGATTCGCAGATGTTTACTATCAGCAGTTACAAATATCAACCTATCAGAAACAGCGTCGCCAAATCTTGATGACTGGAGATTTGACGATAATCAAACCATGGACACATTACATGACAGTTTCTATCGTAATCAGGTTTGTTCATTTTTCTATTATTTTCTACGACGGGAGGGGGGACATACCGAACGGGACTAAAACATTGTTTGAGGCTAAGTCTAGGTGGTTTCGAGATTTTCCCAAGAAGGCTACGTGGGGCAATGCTTTGTCGAAAAACTGCTCAAATGGAGCTCAGTGTGGTTTTGAAATGTAGTAGGTAGTGTAACGAGAAATGAGGCCCTGTCACACATGGTCACGGGTTCGAATCCCGGATCGATATCCAGCTGGGCCGATCAAGCCGTCTATCCTCCCAAGGTCGATTAATTCGTACCAGAGTGGTCTGGGGAGACAAAAGCACTGACTTGTACATCGGCTAGCCACTGCAAGTCATTGTGAAGGCCATGCACGCATTCAATAGGTCACTACGATTCTGAATGAAAGCCGATGCGGGGGTGCGTCCCTCAGTTGAGATCGATTAACGCCCCACGACTTTACTTCGACTTTACTATTAAGGGATAGGTTTGGATTCACAGTGCGAGGATGGGTTAGCCGCCGCGTGACCTTTGCCGCTTGCCGTGAAATTCGGAAAGAAGTTCTGGCACCCACTGCGTTCGACACGTAATTCTTCAATGTACACCACTCCATCCTTGAACTTTCTAATTTCAGAATCACTCTGCAGCTTCATCGGTCCTGAATCCGTCTCCGACACCTCGTGTTGATTCAAAACGACTGTCAGGGGAACATTTAGCTGTTGCCGCTCAAGTGCCTGAGATATTCAAAAAGCTCAATGAGACTCATGTTGGTTACCGAAACCCACTCTCCAGAGAATACCCTATAAGTTTCATGTTTCAGATTATGTCACCCACAATCAACAACAATGCTGCTCCGAACAAACTGCGTGTACAAATTGTGAAAGCAACTCATTTGGGAAGAGGGCCAGGTTGGTTACTACTCCCTTAAAATATTGCGCTCCGATGGCGGAGGAATTCCAACGCAGTCAATCCTGGACTTGTTCCGAAATCCGATACGACAGTAGCTCGGCTGAAGTAGCCAAGGTGTCAGAGGCGGAGAACGTCCGTTGCGCGCGCGTCCGTCGAAAGTAGATCACACCTCTCATTTCGCGCGCAGCGCACCCCACTGAGGTCTCTAGACGACATTACAGCACCACCAAGTGTCGGTGGAGCCAATGATTTGAATTTGTTTGTGTTATCTTCTCTTTGGCTGACTGTCGAGGACCAAGCGCAATTCGTATGCCCCGCTGACAACTGCGACATCCGTCAAGTGTCGCGGGCTGACCTGCCGCATGCGACGGCTGCGGCGTGACCTAGTTTCGACGGACGCGCGCAACGAACACCCATCAGAGGCAGGTTCCAGATTTGCGCTCGTGCCTTGGGTGGTCCGAAGGGAGGATGTATGTGAATTTTCTCTTGTAAACAAAACATTACGATATTCCTTGGGGCCCTTAAATGAGACCTGAGAAGGTTTTTGAGCTTCTTGCGAATACTTGGATGATACAGAAAAATATGCAACTTCAATGTTTACGACTACAATTTTAGAAAAGTTCGTGAACTGGAACTGTTTAGCCGCCCCGGATGTTCAGCAGCCATTTGTTGTCATAGAAATGGACGAACCAGCTCAAAAGTTCACAACTACAAAAGGGATCAATGCCTGCCCTTATTGGGAGGAATCTTATGATTTGTAAATATATTTTAACATTTCCTTACAACAAGTGATCAATTTCCATCTTCTCATGGAACAATATTTTCAGCGATTTAACTCCCGCTTCAGAAGAAATCCTTTTCGAAGTGTATGATGCAAGTCAGAAGAACACGGCCGATGATGATAAGAATTTCCTAGGGCTTGCCATAGTAAATCTTTTAGAAATAAGGAGGAAACCTGAGGTAGGTCAATGGTATGTACTGTTCGAAGACCATTGCAACATCACATCAGCCCGGCTAGATTTGACACGAGAAATCCTCAGAGGAAGTCCCTTTAGAGGGTGGGACAACACCTGCCCTTAAGAGAGGGAGAAGGGGGAAGGGGAGACTTCAGAGCTAGATACTGTTCCCTCTGAACAGTACCTTATCAGGGTTTTTAGCCCAGCGGCGGCAGAACCGTTCTGCCCCATTTTTAAACTGAAACAAGGAGTGCGATTGGAGTTCTCGTTAGATGAACTTACTGGTAACTTTTTCTCCACCTTCCTTCACTTCTTTTCCGCCACAATATTCAGAAAAGCCTGAAAAACTATTAAAACAGTGAAAGAGCGTCGTAGCAAGAGTCAGATCGTTTCTGAGAGGGAATTTGCGTTAGCATGCGCTCAGTCACAGGAGAAGAAATTTTCAATGTTCCGCTTATGAGCCTTTTTTTTTGTTTCGAACCATGTAGTCAACTTGATCTACGAGCTTTCTACGACCAGCTTAGTACTTGTTTTATTTGATACAATGATGTGACATTATATCACCTTAAATCACCCAGACACCGTCTGCACTTTCGCTATAATAAACGTGGAACCTCATTTATTTGCTTCTATTAACCCCTTTCTTACTTCATGATTCTTAATTTCTAGCACGTGCACCATCTGAAACTGCAAGGGAGGCCGTATAGAAAGGATGAAGCAACTGGTGAACTTACAGTACAGGTAAATTTCAAAATATTGCTTCCTTGTTAAGCACTCATGCGAACACGCAAGTTCTCTTTGTGAGCAAATGTTACATACTGTGGGTGTATGTCGTTTGGCGCGATCCCTCCCAACGCGCCGCCCATTCGACGCTATTTGCGAGCTGAACAACTCGTCCAGTTTATCGAGCAACCCAGTGCCCATCCAGCTCATAGAAGCCCGATCAATGACGCTACGCTGATAGGCAGAACAAGCAGGTCCACAATTCGCTGGATAGGCAGTGGGATGCACGACCACCTCGACGAGTTGTCCACCTCGCAAACCGCGTCGAGTGGGCGGCGCGATGGGAGGGATCGCGCCAAACGACCGCCTCCCCACTACTGTCATGTAGCTTCTTTCAATCCGTGAACGTATTGCTGGCACTCGATAGAGAGCATGCAGCGTATGAACGACGAATCTGTGATTGGTCGTTGTTGGAAACCCACCAATCGCAGGCGCGCTTTGCACGCTGCATACGTCTTCAATCCAAGCTTCACTATAAGAAACCCGGAACATTGTATATCGAACATACACTGCAAATGACTTTTTTTTTGCTAATTTGGGACGATTACTCATATGGTTTTGCAGTTTGACTACTTCTACGATCCGAAGAGTATGACTCCTGGCAAAATAGTTGATACAGTGAAAATTCGGAACAATACAGGAAGCGAGTTCCGAGAGACGGTAACCAGTCAACGGCGTGCAATATACGATCCCCATGGTTTGTTCCAATTTAACTAGTAACTTGTCTAATGCTACCATCGTTATAAGTACATTTTCAGATAACTTTGAGTCTTTCGATATGACTCCGAGGAAAACCACAACTGTAGTCGTTAAGACGGTCTCACAGGTGAGTTCTTCTTCACTCACCGTAGCTGTTTCTCTCTCATCTGTACATTACTGCCTAGTACATTTCAGCAGTTAAAAGATAAACCAACGATACAATCTGTTCACGGCTCTATGGAAAATGCCATGGATCCACATACTCAACATATCCTTGATCAGCAGTTCCATCACGATGGAAAAATGGGTCACATTGGGGTGAGCTGGAAGTAATCTATTTTTGGGAATTTGTCAAATAAATAAATTTGGTTTTAAATCCGTTCCTTGTTATAGATATATGAGGTTGGAACCTCTGAAAAACCCATACATGAATCTTCGATTTCATTTTGTTGGTTATTTTTTTGAAGTGAGGTGTTAAGTCCTACATTCCCACTTCGCTCCTTACCTCTAGTTGTGGGAGAACGTCCGTTGCGCGCGTCCGTCGAAAGTAGGTCACCCCGCCCACATCGCGCGCGGCGCACCCCATTTGAAGTTTCGTGACGGCATTACAGTACCACCAAGTGTCGGTGGAACGAATGGTTTGCATTTGTCCGTGTTATCTTCTCATCGGCTGACTGTCAGGGACCAAGCACATTTCGTATGCTCGCTGACAACTGCGACGTTTGTCAAAGATCGCAGGCTAACCCGCCGCATGCGACGGCTGCGGCGTGACCTAGTTTGGACGGACGCGCTCAACGAAGCGCACCCCCAGTTGTGGTATGCAAGTGTGGTGGGAATCTCTCAGGAGGATCTCAATGATCGAAGAAATGTGAAAAGTGGTTCTATATAGGAGAAGATAAGCCTATGCAGTGCGGATGATCAAGCTGAAGGAGCCTGAACATCACGGGTATTGTCTGAGAGACTGTAGAGCTCCCATCCAGCCGGGCAGGGAAAGGATGTGAAGGACCCAGAAGTGCCAGAAAGCCCTGTTCACATGGGTCAATCATTTGAACTCTGGAAATCGATGAAAAAAGAGAATGCTGTGTAGTATTTGGCTATTCCTTTGCATTGCCTTCATTTCATCGGTTTTGAACATTCGGGAAAATTTTCATTGCTTCTGGTTATCCGTCGTTATCAAAAGTCCTGTCAGGACCAACTCGGGAGTAGTTTTACTTCGTGAGAACCAGTAGTCAAATGTAAACAACTAAAGTACAGCTGACTCTCCGACATGTATGTTTTATGTTCCAGGAAAGCGTGAAGCAAGCTGCCACCACTGCTACCCAGGCAGCAGCTCCAAGTCGAACAACCGCAACCGCCCCCACTACCACCGTCGCCACCACTACAACAACCACCCTTCACGCTCGTCCACCTCACCCACCATCAGCTGAATCCACATTAGAAAAACGAGGACGAGGTTATCCTAGAGGCCATTCATTTTGAACAAGGATGTCGTCGAGTTACTTGCTTGTAATATAAAAAAATGGGTTTCCAGATAGAGACAAACATAAAAAGAATGGTATTCCTGAAAAACGGGAACGGTCATTCTTCGGAGAACTGCGAGATCGCATCAGTGGTAGAAGGCGGAGTATAACGAAAAGGTTTGATTGTACAGTTTTTTTTGATTCTTCTTTTTTTTTTTTTTTTTTTTTTTTTNGGGGGGGGGGGGGTGATAGCCATAGGGTCAGTTTTCGACCGCAGAAAAATATTTTAAAAGTTTTTACAGATCGAGATCGGTTGACCTCCATGGAGCAGAAATCGAAGAGGCTGTTAGTTTACCGCCCAGCCGTGATCCAAGCAGGACCCGATACGCAGGTTTCATCCCAATCCTTTTCGTTGTAAGGAGCCTCATAGCCCAATTATGAGGACATGTCTAGGGCTCGTAATGTAACCAAGCATCCTTGTGCATCGTGTGCATGAAGGCTGCCGTTCAGGTTCACCTGGTGGAGAGCCTCGATACCATGAGACCCATTCAGTAGGAGGAAAATCTGGTGAATCTAGCAAGAGTCTCTACCAACACAGTACTTTGGTGCTCGAATTGGAACATGACAAACAATTGAAGTAAGTGTTCCCTATCAACTTTTTTTTTCAAAATTCAAGGAGATCAGTAAAGGTAGCCCAGTGAATCCCAGAAAGCTGCCTCACCATATCCTTCTTCAGACACTTCTTCGAGTGACTATAGCTTGACAGTACTGAAGTATCCTCTAAGACCGGCCTCAGCAGTTACTAGGTGTTACTAGGTCGTTAGACTGTCATGTTGCTGGATCTGTTTTGGGAGGCTACAGGCTACCCGTGCTCCGAAACTTTTGTAGAAACGAGCGCTTGGTGAGCTCTACGGGTTGAGAGGATTCTCAGTTGATTACAAATTCTTTACACAGGTCTGAAATATAGGGGTGGAGCACACTCGTGTGGGAGGATAAAAGCACTGACTCGTACATTGGCTAACTTTCGCAAGTCATTTTATAGGCCGCATACACATTCAATACGTCACTACGATTCTGAATGGAAGTCGGTTGCGTATCGAATTCCTTAGACGGGATTAATTAACGTTCCGAAATTTATCTCTTATCCTTTATGTTGAAATATAATGGGTCCTGACACAATTAGTCGGAGGCGGCACCACATAGTGACCTTGATGATGCCTCCTGACCCACGCCCTCGTGCAGATTTTATATAGGACGAATATTCGTATGGCGCTCGTTAGGCTTTGTTGGGGTCCTTTGGATGTGGTGCTCTTGTCTATTGCTTCCCTCTGACAATCTTGATATACTTGTAAAATGTCAATTATTATATTCTTCCAGATACTTCCTCATTCCACCGTCAATGTTAAGTGAGCCAGCAGCATCAAGGCTCATGCGACGGGGCAAAAAGTTGCACATCTACAACGAGCACACATTTGTTGCAGTAAAAATTCGAGGGTATGTGGTTATTAATAAAGCTAGTTCATTAAAATTCATTTTAGAAGCACCCTTATTACGCCCATATCAAGGGTTCTCATATTGGTTTCCGTGTGGCCCTAATTCTCAAGGTTAGGGAAAACCATTTGTGGCTACCAGTTGCAGTCCCAGGCTCCTTACGACTACAAAGACCTGTCGTACACCTCCAAGTCAGGACTGATGGAATTATGGTCGAGCTTTACTACATGATCAATTGCATTGTGTCAGGGGCACGCCCATTGGCTGCTTTCATAGTCCACGACATGGCCAGCAAGCGAGCGACTGACCGACCGACGGATCGAGCGATTGGGGCGAGCTTGCCCGCGGTATCGATCAAGATTCAGTTGTAAACAAGGGCCAAGCGCGCCCCAATCGCTCGATCGGTCACTCGCGGGCCAAATCGTGAACTATGAAAGCAGCCACTGACATATCCTACTGTGATTGGTAAACAATCAGTAAGATCGTCCCGCGTGATCGTGTCGACTTATCCGCTCTATGTAGTAATGTTGCGACTTTGTTATGGCTCACCTTGTTAGAATTGATTATTGATTTAAATGCAACGTTCTGTACTGTGATGTTAATTACAATTTATCAGTAAGTTTTTTTTTTTTAAATTCATACGGTAAAGCTCGGTGGAAATAAGGCTCGAGTTGTCCCATTTTTCCCATCCCATTTCTGCCTATCAGTTCGAGGAAATTTTCTGAAATCGTAATCTCGCTTTCAGGGGTATCAACTGCAACGTCTGTCAGCAACGGATAAAGTCTAGTTTTGCCAAACAGGCATATCAATGTCGAGGTGAGCGTTGCCTGTAAAATTTTTTGAAAGAATTTCGAGCGATCGCTGCACGAGTAGTTACCAGTTTAGATTGCAAATTAGGTGCTCGTTGAGTGCTAAGCAAAGGGGCCGTAGAATTGAAAAAAAGGAGACATTGCGCAAGAACTTTAATTTGGCCATAGGCGACGGCTGCTCAATCGCGAGAGACGGGCAGTAGGAACGGTTTTGTGTAATCGATCCGCCGCACGCGGCTGTCGCGGATCATTTGCCTCGTCGTAACAGTTCTAGCGCTCCTCATACGGCTCAATCGCTATGATTGTAACTTATGGCATGATTCTTTTGTTAGTTCTTTTGTTCCTGAATTTCCTACTTGCTTCTGCATTCTGTTACATCCCTTCGCGTGCGGCGTCTCTCTCGCCTCGACACGACGATCTCGTCCCAGCGCACCACACCCGCCAATCACCGACACTCCAACCGATTCTAATGACCAACGCTCTGGATAAAATTCAAATGACTATCGCCATACTTATAGTAAAAATCTTTCAGATTGTAAATTGGTCTGCCATAAATCGTGTCATTATAAGACCGACGCATTCTGTACACAAAGTACCGTCTCCAAACTGCAAATGTGAGTACAGATAACAGATTTGTTTTGGTGCTAACTAATTGCACAATAATTTCAGTTCGCCTCAGTTTTGGTGAAACATTCTACAGTACACTTCCACACATCCACTATGATTTTTATTGTGTACACTTTGATAACGTCATCTGGATCCTGTAATTAATAAGAGTCGCACAAGTGAAGTAATCCTGCCCACATCATCTTCTCGGTGCATTTTGAGATTCGCAAAGAAACCACCTGAGATTGGCGTCTTCCAAGATACTGTAGAATATTCTGCACCTACTTCTTTCCCACCTCTTCGTTAGATGTAAAGCAAACTTCGCAAACCGCCGAGTGTGACCCTTTTGATTGGTCTCACCGATCGATCAATATGCACACTTTGCGTGTGGGCAAGTATTGCTGCCTCTACATTTCCACCACTATCCCTCCAGCATGATCCCTTATGCATGTATTTAACAAGCTTTCCTAACACACTCTCTTTCTTCTTCAAATCAGGATATTTCAGAGCGAAAGATGTCGACTGGGCGCATTTCTTGAGCCACTACCAATTGGAAGAATTCATCTCAATTGACGGCGTCTAATGTGTTTCCTGTGAATATGGCCGGGATACCGGACAGGACTAGCACCAATCATGATGACGGTGCTCTTCGTTCTTTCCTTGTGTATGAATAGAAGTAATGGCCTTCAACCGCCTATTCATCTCCTAATTCTTATCCTCCGGTACTGGTGAGGTGATGCGAGAGACCAATCATCCGCGACAAACCCCTAAAACCACCCCCCGCCCTTTTCTTTACCACCGCTTCTTCTCCTTTCATGCTTGCCAACTTTTCTCTACCTGTATTTTCATGTATTTACCAAATTACTTACTCATGACAATGCTCAACACTTCAAAGTTTCAAAACGTAAATCTCAGTTTATTCTAATCAAAAATCGATTTGATTGTTTACATGATCTAATCATAACCGCCGTCTAGACAGATTCTATTGTACAACATCTAATCAACATGATCGGTGATTTTTACTTTTCTATATTTAACATGCTCTTTCTCTGGCCTATCGGGAACGGAGGATTACTTTTTCAGAAGACGTTTGGGTTTTGATGAGGATCACAGATGCTCTATAAACCTTGACGAGAATAAATATTAATCCAATGTTATGTGCTTACAGAAAGATTTTTTTAAATGCACTTTTCAGTCGGAACAGTATGTACTTACCAGTAGAACATAGCTAAGCCTTTTCGTCTAATTTTTGATAATTTTTAAGAGACCTGACTCGATTCATCAGCGACAAATAGCCAAATCCCTTCAAACGATGAATAATGATTACTTTGTGGTATCCAGGTCTTCAGCGCCATGCTAAGCAGGCCTCGAGCGGACGGAACACCTCAAAAACAGCCTCTATACAGAACTCAGTACCGTACTTTGTCAGGAATAACTTCTATCTGGCCACCCATTGTACAAGCAGTGCTTTTATCCTCCCAGACGGGTATGTTACCAAATCACCGCAAGTCATTGTATGTACGGGCCCATTCAACACCCTACTCCTATTCTAAATGGAAGTCGATTGCGGGACGACTGGAGTGGAGCGGTAATGCAGGCTGAATCTTTCTGAAATATTTATATTCAAAGGTAAGCTCGCGATAATTTTGAGGTACCCGTTTTTAATCGAAAAGCGGAAGTATAGTTTGGGAATAGTTCATTGGTAGTGAAGAAAGCGAGAGAATTCGCCGATTTCGAGAAAAATGTGGCTCCTCAAAAGAAGATAAAAAAGAGTTGGACGAGATTGCCATGACGGACATAACAGGGAAGGGTATTCGGACGAGTTTCCAATCATTGCAATTGCACAAAGAGCTGACTACATCAAGTCAGAACTGTACAGAACTGTCTTTCACTGTCGCTATGGGTCACGACAAGTTGTTTGAACTTCCTACATGGATTCCCTTGTGATCAGTGCAGCCTCTAAAATGCTGGTGAAACTCGTCCGAGGATACACACGGGAAAATCTTTGAGCCTTTATAACTCCCTAACTAAGCCGTTTTCCGAACTAATAGTGCCAGATATGGTATACGCGGGGCCTCGCATTCGTCCTGTGCGGGAATATCAGAAACCGTTCTTATCGCGAAGTGTGCCTTTGAAAAATACCTGCTGAGGAGACTCTCCAGAACGTTTTGGAAAAGATCAACCTTATCGACTTCGATTTTAACTAGCATTATTGAATTATGTGATGTGATTCATGCAATATTTGCTCATGTGCTGTCTGCACATGCTACTAAATAAAGTAAATATCTATAGAATTTGCAGAAGCCTTAGTTGTCGACTTCTGAAGAAACATTAAAATCTACCGTAATTTTCAAGTAATTTCTTTTTTTTCAAGTTATACAGATATGTAATAGCGAATAGGGAATTATAAAGGCTCAAAGAAGAAAGAATAAGAAATAGAGTGGAAAGACAACGCTGGTGGAACCGCAGAAGGTTGGTTTCTCGGCAGGGATGTTTCGCTGTTTGAGTTTCTGGGAGTAATTGTAACTGGCCTAGTGCGTTTGGGCGCTTGGTCAGGTAAGCCACAGACCAAGAGCTCAAAACTACTTTCAGGTCCTTGAAGACGACGAGTTAGCCGAAATGTCGGCCTGATAAACGGTTCCATCATAACAAACCTGTACGGCAGAGCATTCTGAAATATTCTACCGTAATTATTATATTTACTGTTTAGCTGTCAGCCCCAATACTTCGTTCTTCTGTCTTTTTTCCTCCCTATTTGCCAAGTACATTGCCTGGAAATCTGATAATTTTATTCATTATTATTTGGTAATGCGCAATACTAGATGCGTCCTTACCTTCCAGATGTATCTAAACAAGCCCTTTACCAGCACTCCATTATCTTTACTATGTTGAATTGAGGAAGAACTCAATAATGTAGAAGTTCTAGTAAGCATTAGTATCTATGAAGATAGAAACAAAAAGATAATGAAAACAAAGGAAACAAATACAGGATTCGTTTCACCTATTAAACAAACCAATCATGTTTCTCGCTAACCCCTGAGGATCATCCGAGAGTGGGTTAGCGAAGAATGGAGTAGGTAATAGTAAGATGAAAAAGTTATACAGATATGTAAACCAGTTTAAAAAATGTGATTCAAATATAAAACCAGAATAAAAAAGATGGTAACAAAATGAAAATGTTGAAGAGATAAGAGCAGCTGTAAGCAGAATTATTGGTGTAATACTAGCCTAAAATTAACTATTGTGATGAATACGGTATAGATGTTAGCAATGTGTGTCCACGTGAATACTCAGATAGATTAGAGCGTACTATATATCAAGCCTTGTAGGTTGATAGTACCTTCTAACGAAATGAGTAATGAAGAAGAGCATGAGCGTCGTATGGACCGTGTCGACGGAATGTCGTTCTGAAGTGTAAAACGATTGAAACGGCCTCTTTGTCTAAAATAAATCATCCTCATCCTCCTCAGACGGCCATTCTTTTAATGCTAGCGGAATGAACCTTACCATGAACTATTAGCATTTATTCTATTATACGACATGCAATCAAGAATCCATCGCATCGTGACTGCGTATATGGTCGATTAGTCCCTACTAGTCCGCAGAGGAGTCAAATCCGTTCAACTCAGAACTTCCAGCTTTCTGTATCCAGTTATACGACTTCCGAAAACTAGACAATAAATGAAGAGACGCTCAGGAATCCTCAACTACTTCTAGCGACTGGGATAACTACTTATTTCGCTAATTTCGGTTCTCGTTTGCAATGTTGTCGTTTGAAGTAGTTCTTCCTAAAAACTTGTAATTTTTCTAAACTTTCCTCAGTTTTACTGTTTATCCGTCTTGAGCATTCCAAGTAACCTCTACTGATCCACTTCTAAAATGCACAACATAAAAGGTCTAGTTCCTCATCAGAGCATACTTCTTGACGGAGGTCGGATAGATTAGAAAAATTTTCCGCATGAATTAAATGTCGGGAGAAATAAGATGAAAATTGCAGTCGGAAACCTAGAAATGGGCAGACAGTAAAAGAAGGTCGGTTGTCGACATTTATAGACTATTTCGCTATGTAATAAACTAAAGTTGAAAATACGCAATGAATTGTGGTTTGTGGAAGTCTGGCGGCGCCAATATCGCTTTAAAGGCACAGTTCACGATAAAAATGGTTTCTGAGATTCGCCTACAAGATGAATTTGAGGTCCCCGCATATACCATATCTGGCATTGTTGAACGGAAAATGGCCAACTTAGGGAATTATAAAGGCTCAAAGATTGGCCTGTGTGTATCCTCGGATGAGTTTCACCGGTATTATAGAGACTGCACCGATCACAAGGGAACCCATGTAGGGAGCTCAAACAACTTGTTATGACCCTTAGCGACAGTGAAAGACAGTTCTGTGCAGTTCAGACTTGATGTAGTCAGCTCTCTGTGCAATTGCAATAACTGAAATCTCGTCCGAATTTCCATGTTATTCCCGTCGTGGCAAACTCGTCCAAACTCTATTTTCTCTACTTTTGAGGAGCTATATTTTTCTCGAAATTGACGAATTCCCCAAACTATACTTCCACTTTTCGAATAAAAACGAGTACCTCGAAATTATCGTGAACTACGCCTTCAACTCCGCAGCTTCGTCGTAATGCACATCTTGCGTCAGCTGTAGAATCCGAACAAGAAGTGCTCGCTCTTGGATTGTAGTGAATAGCATACTAAATTAACCTCAAACAACATGCTTGGTAAGATTTCCTTACCATAAGGGTCAGAATTCCGTCTAAGCACCTAATTTTACAAGGACTGTTCATAGCGAGAAATGATCCTCTTGTGGTGCTCCAGCCAATACTGGGAGGAACTGGTCACGACCGCTTCATGGGCATGCTTCAACTTTGATTGCATAAGAAAGGGAGGTGGTTCACATTATCAGAAGATCTCATATCGTGCTGATCTTCCCCGTTTGATTTTCACAGGGAGAAGTCTTTTTACTTCAGTAATCGGAAGTGGTAGATGATGCGGTAACGTAGCCCTTTTACCTTTCAGTCAAAGTCCTCGTGTAAGTGCACAATAAAGTGAATGGCCAACTAATTTTCGATCTTAAACGCCACGCTCTATCAATTTCCTTCTATGTACAGTTTTGATTTTCCAGAAAAAAAAACACAATTCTTTCGATTAAATGACGTTGGAAGGGATATTCCGTGCTATCCTTCTTTTTACGGGGGCTTTACTAGCCTTTTCTCATTACCCTACGCTATGATTGTAACCTGTTTCTAGTATTGTCAAAAAGTTAATGGTTACATCTATATGGAAGTTGTCCTAATTCGTCTTGATTTCCATCTTCGGCTAACGATGTCGAACTCCGATATGCAACTCAGCCGAAATCGCCTCTGTGACCTAGTTCATACAAAAGCTCCAAGTTTATTCGTGTTCCACACCTTTCCGTGTTCCTGTTCCTACTTACTTTTGTCTTCTATTAATAATACATTTTTATATATTCTTTTACCCTTTCATAGTGAAACGGTACCATGCAGCCAGTCCAGAACCCTCGAACATACGACTCTCTTTCTTGTTGAGGCACCCCTTCTCCAACAGGAGCTCCCTGAATACCAGGTTTGATTAAGTGGGTCCGTCAGGAATCAGCGAGAAGCCCAATTGTTAAACTAGCTACTATGAGCTGTACAGAATGTGGTTTTACCGAACCATATACTGGATAAAGTGAAAAAAATGCGGATCAGGGCCCTTCTATGTTACAAACCTTTCCTAAGTGGAGCGTCGCAGAAGCTAGGGTGAGGTTTCAGTTGAGTCGATCTGAAATAATCCCAAACTAACACTAACACTAACCTATAGATAATACCCAGCAGTAAATGACTATAATTAAATATTCCAAAGGCAATGTAATCAGCCTCTGACAGATTAGTGTTTTGAGAAAAAACAGGCCTTCAAGCCCAATACAGCTTCAGTTAGAAGGGGTCCCCAAAAACTGCAGTAAAACTGGATGGTAGTTAGTGGCTTAAATCGGGGGGTCGCTCAAAAACGTGTCCTTCTCTCATCCAGACCTCAACTGTTTTCTTCTTTTCGTATAGCTTTTCATTAGGATCCGATGAAAAGCAAGTTGAGGACTTGCTATGGAGGCGGTAGATGCCACGTAATATTTAGATCCACCCTACGACCCTTTAGCGCCCTCCCACTTTTACCATAAGCTTTGCCATATTTTTTGAAGGTTACTGTATACAACCAAACTTCATCTCTTTGAACCTCCACATAATATTCCTTTCTTAAGAGAAATGTTCTAAATGGTCTACAACTTTATTTTTCAAAGGCTGAGTCGACTACTGCTTTGATAACCTTTGGAACCCTCCACTTCGACCACTTTGATTCCTGAAAATCTCAATAGAGCCCCATTCCGTGGCTATTGTCGAGCTAATAACCATGTTTTCATAAAAGTCAATTTTGTAAACAAAGCTTCACGGTCCCTGGAAAGGACAAGTACGGGTTCAAGTCTCGTCCAAGACTGGAGTTTTGCCCACAAATCGCCAACCTTGTGAGACTTTCACTCCGCCCACTGCGGCGTTAAAACAGCAGTTAACAAAACATCAAGTCAAAACACAGCTTCAATTCCATGAGGTCCTACTCAAAACAGTAGGAGGCTGCAAAGTGCAGACTCCTGGAGATGCAGATACTCTTTTGTAGATTTACTCCAAAGTACTGACCTGACTGCAGTACGGGGTCTACTGCAATAACTGGAGGCTTTGTTGGTTTTTTTTCATTTCCCTCAGATTGAATCTCGTCCAGTCAAGTTTATTCCTAAAGACGGCTCGTCTTTGATAATGATAGCAGCCTAAGGACCTTTTAAGCATTTTTACCTCTTCAAACTGAAACCGAAAAAATGTAGAATTCTAATGTTGTTGACTACGAGCTCTCCTTGGAATCTTCCAAGCTCATGATATTCTTATATGTCTTAATGACTACTTTCGTCGTAACTGCGAGATATCATTCACTTTCAGCTATGCACCATAAGTTACTATTGTTGTGCCTTTCATTTTCACTGTTTCAATTGGCCCTGGCACAACAAGATGATGGTTGGTTTACTAGTACGTCCATGACCTGGTGGTGTTGACCATCCGTACCTCATTCCAGAGATTTGCCCACCTGTTTTGGACATAGCATTCGTTCTGGACACCTCTGGAAGTATAGAGGAAATCTACAACGAACAAGTTCGATGGACTGTCTCCCTAACAGATGCATTACCAATTGCTAAGGATGCTGTACGGTTAAGCACGATACAGTAAGCTCTACTTTACTGTACCTACTACTGCCAACAACGTGAAAAATACTTCCTAGATATGCTGGCTATCCACTGACCGAATTCAGTCTCGATACTTACAACGACAAGGGTGACGTTGAACGTCACCTTCGGGAAATGTCATTCCAGTCAGGTGTGACTAGAACGGGATATGCACTGAGACGAGCTGAAGACGAACTTTTCAACGAGGACCGAGGTGCAAGGTCAGTTCCAGTTAAGTGACGGGAAAACGTACCTCACAATCTTTCAAAAGTTTCTCAGATAACTTTGAACAGAGGAGTAGACAGAGGCAAACCAGGCTACAGTTGTACTTGTCATTTCGAAACTACGTGGTGTTTTTTTTTTGAATTCCATGAAAAAAATCCGTTTTAAACATGGCCTGCCCATTTCTCAACAAGTTGGGTTTATTCTCAGAAAAGCTCTGCATATTCACTCATATCCTCTTAACTGGTAATCATTCACCTCCAACCTGTAGCAATTATGAATGTATTTCACCAATTCATGATCTTTTTGAGCAGAGTAGCTGATGCTAAAAGCCTGAAGTTGAAGACTAGAAGCAGCTACTCATGGAACTAAATACTTGAAGCTTCATTTAGTGCATTCAGTTCCCTGTTAGAGAGTAAAAAAAAATAAAGAATTCATTAGTTTTTCACATTTTTGTTTATTCCGCCTTTATTTTTTCTTTATTCAGAAGAAACGCCAGCAAAATTGTTGCCCTTTTCACTGATGGGTTGTCGATTGACGATCCACTAAAGCCATCTGAACATTTACGGCTTCTTAGAGGTTGGAACGTTCAATAATCATTTTCTCATCGAAGTGAAACTTCTTCAAAAGTCTCTTCTTCGCTGTTTCATGTTTCATGTCAGTTTTTTGAGTTTCCTTCTTATATCAGGAGTAAAAATCTACGTCGTAAGCGTTAGTGCCGATGGATTCGTGCCGGAAATGCAACGAATCGCTGGTGAAAGCGCAAACGTCTACGGGTGAGAAACTGTAATTAGTTGGTCGTGTTCCGTGTATACCAGTGAAAGGGTGTCCGATGACACGTATAGATTATAGTAATGCCTTTTTCAAGATGGCGTACGAGAGGCGGTGGCGTAATGAGCTTGGGTGGTTTGAGAGGAGTGGGTAGAACCACTTATCAATCAAATTATCACCTTCCGAGGATTTTGTTAACAACTTGGGAAAAATGACAAAGTTGCGACGTCTTAGAATTATACCGTCAAATTTACCAGGTGATTATCCAGTCGATTACTGTAACGTACTGTATTACCGCTCATATTGGCAACACCGTTGACATTAACTTGTGTTAAATAATAAAAAGGGTTCACCACTATTCAAGCCGAACCCTGGGATTTTGAATTCCGGCTCCCCTTTTTCCGCCCCTACGTTCAGTCCGAGTAGGTAATCCGTGGAACAATACCTTATGGGGCCTGGAACTTCCATTTCATTCCTTCTATGCTTATTTAAGAGATTGGGCATGAAAGTCAAACAATTTTTGACTCGATTTCTTGGGAAGATGACGCAGCGCCGGGTGGCGCGCCATCACTCAAGGGGTACGAGAATCAAATCCCGAACGGTACCCTTTTTGGGCAATCGAGCCGTGCATCTCTCCCAGGCTGTTGAATTGGTTACAGATATGTTTGGGAGGATAAAAGCGTATACTTGTATATGGCTAGCCATAGCCAGCTATTGAATAAGCCACAAATGCATCCAAAAGGTCACCGCGATTCTGAATGAATGTTGAGCGCGGGGCGCACCCCAAAAAAGAGATTAATCAGCACCAGAAGGACTTTATTTATCATACTTTCACTTCTCTATGTGAATATGTCACATATTCAGGCCAGAAGATCTGCAGCTGCTGAAAGAGCGTTTTCTGAAAGATGTTGAAGAGGCTAGAGTTTGCGAAAGCGACCGGACGGTGAGGTTTCATCGTCCTTTTTTATCATCGTGACGCTCTAGGAGCTGCCAAAAAATTTTCAAACTGTAGGTTGAGGAAAAATAGCTCGCATTGAATTGTCAAAAGCAGAACATAAAAGCGTTTCATGCCGTGAAAAAAGTCACTCCATTTTCAGAGTACTCGTTCGTCAACTGGTTTAATTGAAAATTCAAGTTCAACCAAAGTCATTCCCATCGAAATCGCCAATGAAGTCCTTAGCTTACGTGAAGAGCCAGAATTCTTCACGCCAACCACAAATACTCCATTGAAAGTGCACGATAATGAGTACAAACCCACTAGTTGAGTTTTTAGAGTACAGATCATGAATAAAAAAAAGTATAGAAGGCTGATAAGCTGTACCAGCGCATCCACTTTTCTATACTTACTGTAGTATTCGTTTCAGGTCTAAAAGTACACATACTACTCCCAAACAGAGAGTATCTATCCATTCCGCAGAAGCCACTACACCTGCCATCACAGCAACTGAAATCTTCGAGCGAGTTTTGAAAAGTGTCGGAAGCGCGGTAAGGAATTTTACTGAAAAACTTAATTCGCTAGATGGCCTTAGAATGAAGCCTGTGAGACTTCACTCAATTGATTTCAGATTATTACCGAGGTATTATAGGCTCTTATAAGCTACCGATTATTGTTGATCATTACTATGGCAGTTATGTCAATATTATTGCAAATTACCCTGAGAGAAGTTTCAGCGGCCTCAATCCCAATACCACTGACCATTGTTCGGTGAGAGAGTGCAGACGCCCACAAGGTGGTTGTTGCGGCGCGGCAGGCGCAGCATGTTGTCTAAGAACTTTGCTGCAGAGGGAGTGGGTGAAATGCCGAATGTATTATTGAAATTCCCATCAGGGTGACCTGAATGCTATAATGAGCTGCGGGAATTTGCACTTTTACGATAACAAACGAAATCTCTGTCGTAGTGGCACATTCCATGCGGTTGAGCATTGCATCAGGCTGCATGATTAAGCGCAGTACCACAATTGCGGTAATTTTCACGAAGGTTCTCACATGGAATCCTGGGTATTTGTACATTCGGGCGATTCGAGCTACGCGCGACAAATTGCGCGGCGAAATTCGTGGCAATTCGAACGACTCTGTCGCCTACTATTGGGGCACAAATTTGAAGTAGAATAGCTGGGTAGGGTCAGCTGATTCCACTAATCTACTATACGTAAAAATTTGGGCCCAATAGGCGCTAGAGTCGTCAAAATCGCTATGAATTTCGCCGCGCATTTAGCCGCGCGCAGTTCGAATCGCACGAATGTATCGTCCCCCTCGAATCCTTGGCTTCTAATCCTGAAAAGTCGAAAGTTCGTTTTACTTCTTTCTAACAGAAGTCAGGGCCACTCTGGTAACTCTCATAGCATATAAAACCTTGTCAAATAACATTACTACGGATGATTAAAGGCACAGTTCACGATAAAGATGGTTTCTGAGACTCCCCACTGAATTTGAGTCCCCCTCGTATACCATGTCTGGCACTATTAGGTCGGGAAACAGCCCAGTCAGGGAGTTTTAAAGGCTCAAAGATTGGCTCGTGCGTATCCTCGGACGAGTTCCATCGGCATTATAGAGGCTGCACCGATCACAAGGGAGCCCATGTAGGAAGTTCAATAAACTTGTCATGACCCATAGCGACAGAGAAAGACAGTTCTGTACAATTCCGGCTTGATGTAGTCAGAAATGGCGTTTAGACGAAGCTCGCAGCAATCTAAGTTTATTAGTATCCTTTGTATAAATTAGAAGATTGCCGTAATTACCAGAAAAGATCACATTGCTATGTTTGCTATTTTTTATTGAAGAAACAATAACTCTATTCTGTGATACTTTTGCAGTATAACAGCACCACCTACTCGACTACATCAACCACACGCGTGTATGTACCACCATGGAAGCCGAGGAAACCATCGGTCAGCTAACGATCGAGTTCATTATGACTGCCAAAAATGTTGTAACACGAATTTAAATGTTTAAGGATATTGCCATCATTAAAAACAAGCCACGAACGAAAAAAATTCGGAAGATAATTCGAAGGAAATTGAAGCGCATTCCCGGAATTTCAAGAAAGGACGTGTCACGTAAGGTCGGCTTATAGTTATACAAACAGTTTCGCAAACCTATATGTATAGATCTAAGTTCATATTTGAAAATGACTGTTTTTTTTCTTAGGGTCACAAAATTATTCGAAAAAAAGTCCGAAGGGTGATTTCTCACGCAACATCGCTACCAGTAATGAACGAACCGATACTGTATCGCGGTTTTGGTGATTTCTCGAGAATTTTGCCGATCTCAGCAACTCCTCCACCAACTTTGATTCCTCAAGATGCTCAAGAGGTAAGCTGAAACAACTTTTGATGTAGGATTACCCAGCAAATAGCACACGCTACAGAAGATATTACTTTTGAAAATTCAAATATCGTACGGTTTGCAAAGGTTGCTTAACATTGGTTCATTTTGTATTTACTTTACAACTAAGAGAGGTATTACAAAACAAGGCAAACAAAAAGCAGGAAAAATATGTGTAAATTTGGATGTAAAATTGGTAAAAAAGGATCAACAGTAATGCTAGAAAGACTGGACCAAGCAGCTATCCCTAAAGAGATACACTAGCGGTTTCAGCGCTTGAATGTTCGCGAGTATGGACGAATTAGATTCAAAGTGTAACGCGGTCTCGTGGCTATTATTGTTTTACAGAGTCTTTTACTGTTGTATTCCTTTAAATCGGTCACAACATCTGCACAATTCAACAGGATACCGTAATCTTCGTATAGCTCATTGTGGAAATATTACAACAGATCACGCACTAGCGGCCTCTTACCCCGAATGGCACGCAGCGAGGCAACTAACAAACGCAATCGATCATCATAAACATAGCGCCAGGCGAGACAACTAGCTAGGATCCGCCGGGAGCGAATCTTCCGTCTTCTCGGAGCACATCTTGAGACCAAGTCTTGGAAGACTATTGGTATGCTTCAGATTATCCCTCTGAAGATAGGACTTTGCTCTGCATCCCAGAAGACCTTGCGCTAGTCAGCAATTTCCAACATGAACTCTGCCTATCTGGTCACGCTGTTGGACTTTATTTTTCTATTTCTATCGTTTTTTTTTTCACTGAATTCTCGTTATAGAAATCTACGGTGGACCAGTACCATGAGTATCATAAACAACTTATTTCAGATAATGTTCACATCGACTACGATGAATCCTATGCAGTTCTTGCGAACAACGAAGGCTATCACAAATATACCGGACATCACTTTCAGTTCCCAAAATCAGAGCCCACCATCTACGCTTCCATTCACCCACGAAGGAGTAATGGAGAGAAAACGAGCATTTGCGTCGAAGACCACACTATTCGACGAAAAATCCACCGCGTTCCCTACCCCACATGAAGGATCTGTGGGAGAACCACGATCGTTCGTTCCACGAACTGAATTTGATAAACCGGAATCGGCTATGTTTCCTACTCCCCATGAAGGAGCCGTAGGGACACCACGAGCATTTGCTCCGAAAATCCTCCAAGGCATCGCTCTACGACATAGGCCTGAGGTAACAGTGCCCCCAGTGCCCTCTACAGAAGCTCCTCGAATAAGACCGGAGGTAACAGTGCCACCAGTGCCCTCTACTGAAGCTCCTCGAATAAGGCCTACGGTAACAGTGCCGCCAGTGCCCTCTACAGAAGCTCCTCGAATACTGGCTCCAGTACTCGCACCTCTACCTTTGGCTACACGAGTTTCCCAGAATGATGGTAAGTCCCCTGCTCACAGAACAATCGTCATCGTTAAAATGAAGAATGTTTCAGGTAGTTCCCGGGGAAAATGTCCGCTTGACATTCTGTTCATCGTTGACAGTTCAGGGTCTGTTGGAGAGATCTATGAAAAACAAAAGGTAAAATGTACTAAAACTCGTAAATATGAATGTTGTCATCTTTGAAGGATTACTATGTCAGGAATTTCTGTTAGACTTGTTATCGTCAATCGAACCGGAAAACCAGTCGCACAGAGTCGGGCTCATACAGTTCGCTGGTGCAAAACTCCAAAAGACCGAATGGTCGTTTGAGACATATCGCGACCACTCAGGATTGATGCAAGCATTCAATGGAGTACGTCATTTTACAGGTACGGCTTGTATTGATCACTATTTTCTTTTTTCGAAAAAGGATACCTCGCCTGCAATTGGTGGATAGTCGATGGCATCCAATCATAGCTCACCTTGGCACCCGTGGGGAGTTCGCAATTTACTCAATGATCAAATGAATTGAGTAGATTTATGAAATTCGAGCTAACATCCCCTTCCTAAGTGGCATATGAGCCGTAATCTCTGGTAACGGGTGTGGTGCAGTAGGAACGGGTTTGTCGCGTCGCGGCGAGAGAGACGCCGCGCGCAAGGAATGTAGCAAAATGCAGCCGCAAGTAAGAAATTCAGGAACAAAAGAACTAACAGTAGGATTACGGCAAAAGTAATAATTGCATAGCGGTTGAGCTGTATGAAGAACGCTCCAACTGTCATAAGGAGGCAAATGGTCCGCGGCAGCCGCGTGCGGCGGATCGATTACACAAAACCGTTCCTACAGCCCGTCTCCCTCTAGTAACGCCTTAAGGTCATTTCACGACAATTTTGGGGTATACATTACTAGACGATAATGGAGTGGTAGTCCATAATATTGCAAAGGAGGTGGAGAAAATGGGGTGATTCTCAGAGAACTATAAAGCTTTACAAAAGTAACAAAACTAGGGTTGAACGAGAATGCGGCATTTAAAGATGCATGGAATGGGTATTCGGATGAGCTGTTCAAGCGCGATTTGCCATTTCCTATAGCTGGGTTCAGTAGGCTGCCTGTGTGCAACATGTGGGTCCCGGTGCGAATTTCGCATCCTCCACAGACTCTGCGAGCTTTCACGTAACCCATACAAGTATCATAGGCTAAATGGGAAGAATTGCACCTATACGTTAAGATTATGGTGCAATCACTAACTTTGCTCTAACCTGTTTACAAACAACTTTCCAGGTACCACATACATTGGCGCTGCCTTGGAGTCGGCAGTTCAGCTATTGGGATCTCGACGTCCAGACGTCACAACGCTGGTCATATTGATCAGTGATGGGTGGAGTGATAGAAGAATTCTACAACTTTCAACGCGATACTAGTAATTATTACTATCATTGCAGATTCTCTCAAGATGATGCAGTACGTCCTGCAGAAGTAATCCGAGCAATGAAAAATGTCGAACTCTATGCTGTCAGTCTTTCCCGACTCAGCAATCGGTATGGTATATCATCTCAATAGAGTACTTACACCTATTAATTACCTTCTATTCTATCTATCAAATACCATTAATAAATTTTGTTAAGGAGTTATCTACAACAAATAGTCAAAGACGAGGAGAAGATATCAATGGATAATGATACGAGTTACTTTGGTAATCGCCTTAAGTCCCGTATTAATTGTGGATATTGATTGTTTTCAACATACCATTTTAAAATGATGTAATAATAAAGTTAATATGTTTTCTATCCAGTTTCCAAGGTAAAATCAGAAATAGAAAGAATGCAGGAAAGCATAAGTTCGGGTTGCATGCGGTAACCGTGAGCTTGCGGAAAACCCTTGATGATTGAAGTGTTGCTGATGAACCGGGGTGACGTCTACTGACCAGGAGCCTTCACTGTCTTAAGGCTGAGGGGTTCAGTTGGGGGTAGCGAAAAATAAAGTCTTTGGGTGTTAATCAATCCCGTCTGGGGATGCGCCCCTGCCGTCCACTTCCAAGATCGTAGTGGGCACTGAATGCGTGCGTGACTTATACAATGACTTGCGGTGGGCAGCCGATGTACAGGTCAGTGCTTTTATCCTCTCAGAACAGTCTGGTACCAATAAAGCGACCTCGGAGGGATGCAAGGCTTGATTGACCTAGGCGGATATCGATCCTGCCATATGTGTGTGTGTGACAGGGCGCCACTTGCTACTACGCCAACCCTCCTAAGAAAGAATCCTATTATTAGTAATCAGAGTGGACGCAATCTCAATGCATACCACAAATCTGAAAAACAACGTTTACCTTTGAGCTGTTGGCTGAACATAAGGCTGCCGTGCCTCTCCACCTAACCCAACAATTCCACCTATTATTGGCCAACCCCACAATACGGCTCGTTTTCTACTTTTTATTTCTTCCACCTTTTCGGAAAGGCAAATATGATGTTCTTGCTTAAAAAATGTTCCCATCGTATTACTGCAACCATTTTGCCAAGTTCCCTTCTTCCAAATAGTCCAGTGTCAATACCTCGAGCAATGAAGGCTTTCTTGGACATGGCGGATAGGCAAACGAGCCTTTCTGGATCCGATGTCCTGATCGGACCTACTGTTTTAACTGCGCCGCTTTGCATAAACCCAGTTCTTTTTCTAAGCATGCTGGTGTTCCTCGTTCTTTTTTTTACTTCTGTGAGTAATCAGTCATGGTGGTTGATTAGTCTGATGGACATCAGTGGCATTGAACTTGGATCTGTTAAAAGCGCAGTTCACGATAATTCCCCGTTGCTGGTTCACGGGGCTTCCCCGCCCCTCGATCGACGTCACGTCAGCTGAGTGTCGAGACAATACAGATTGTTATTATTCGTTCTAGGACCCACACACAATCAGCTGATCGCCGAGTAATGAGGTGTTGTTTTTTTCCCATTCTTTCTCCTCTGTTATTCTTTCTGCTGCCGCGACCCCTTATTTAATTTCCTACCCCAAGAGGCTGAAAAAGGTGAGCTATTTTAGCTGTCACTAGGGGTTTTTTGTTTATTTATGCTTATAAGTGAATGAAATTTTGCTTACCGTGGTCTGTTATTAGCACCAGGACCCACACGTACGTATTGACCCACTTTGTATAGCTCGTACAAACACCCCACTCTTCTTCATCCTTCTGGTCTCATTCTCGTCCAGCCCCCTTTTTAATGAATTTTCAAACACTTTTTCCCTTCGGAAACACCGATCCACGCAGTTCCTTCTCCTCCATCGCACTATTTTCCATCTTATTTTCCATTTTTCGTCATAATCTGGATTACTCAAAATTATCGTGAACTGTGCCTTTGAAGCAACCATATATCCATTAACGAAACCACCCGAAATTATGCGAGTCATCTGGCTACAAAAGCTAATGATACAGTAAATTTGAAAGATTCCATCACAGTGTGATTTTAGCATGGACGAAATAATAATTTATCGACATGCCAAGCGAACCGATCAGCTCACAAAAACAACATGTATGTGATAACAAATGACCAGTTTCTGTTTCCGAGATTCCCTACATACAAATCTCTCATGCATACCTCCTATAGGATAGAGAATCGATCGGAAAGCCGCGATTCACAGGTATTTATACAAATAAGAAAGAGAATTCAAAAAGGTCCATGTGGAGGGAGGGGGGCGATGATGTTCAGACGCATTTCAAGTTCCCAAATGCTATCACTCTCTAAGAAAAACCCATTAAAGCATTACTCACCTCAAACAGGAACATCGACAGAATAAAAATGGTTACAAACTATAGAATCACAACGAGAAAAGTAAAATTATGACATTATTCAGATGCGAGTCCACGAAATTAATTATTAAATAGAAAAAATCCACCGGCGCAGCATGGAATGACACGGAATTTAAGCTGAAATTGGGTAACATCAAAAAATTTGGCAGGTAGTGCAGGATTTCTGCGGGAAACGATTACGTAGAGGGCTGATAGTTGATAGGTACTATAACGAATGTCAGGGATTAGGTACAGGGCGACCGCACGCGTCTAAGCATGCGTCGCGGCTCGACCTGATCCACTCGACGCGAAATACGTGAACATGGGTAAAAAGGAGGTGTATAACAGCCTAGTTATCAACAGAAATCAATAAGTAATTTGCTACAGAAAGCGACATACAGGACTAAAACACATGAGAACGCAGCAGAGTACAGGGATAGCGAATCATTTGATCATACGATAGTCATTTGTACAAAGTAGTAAAAGTAAATGATTCGTGCAGGTGGCAATACTCCGTCGAACCTATGAGCAAATATTTTAAACGGAGATATTGGCAAAGCATTACTATACTACTACATATACGAGAACAACTCATGAGACGGCGTCAACGGCGGCTACGGCGCTCATCCATGTTACCTTCGATAAGGGCGTGGTTGTGAGTTGTTCCACTACAAACACGACTCAACACATTGTGTTCTGAGAATTGTGGCAAAGAAAAATATTTTGACTACTTAGATGCCAATAAAATCATGTAACAGGTTGTATAGACGGTGTCCGTTGTCGTTTTGTTATCAGTTTACGTTCCTGCGGATCTGTTGCACATTCAGTTAGCGTTTCCTCACTGACTGACCGATCCCTCGAGCCAGATTCAGCCAATTCCTGCAATAAACAGCTTCTCATGAATCGTAAACAGACGAGGGAGTTTATTATTCACTTAAAGGTGAAGGTGGCGTTTAGGCAGGAAGACCAGGAGAGTTGGCACCTCCACCCTCGCAGTATATGTATCCCTCAACTTCTGGGAGACGGGCAGTAGGAACGGTTTTAAGTAATCGATGCGCCGCACGCGGCTGTCGCGGACCATTTGCCCCGTTATAACAGTTCTAGCGTTCTTCATATAGCTCAGTTGCTATCATCATGAATTTGCGGCCGAAATACGGTCCCCGTGGCCTTTTGTCTTTCGATTACGGACGGGTTTAATAGAGTGTCATTTAATATGCATGTAGCAGCTCAAACATAGAAAAAGTTGGGCTTCGTCAAAAAATCATCTAGCAGAGTCCTCTATTCCCAAAAGGAACAGATGAGATTCCTGTGTCGCCAGTTCCGAAACCATGATCGACCCTCGTACCCACACCTCCAGTGCAACCATTTATTTTACCCCAGGGAACGTTCTGCACTGCACTACGCGTTGTCCATGGAAAACTTTGAAAATTCAAAATTGAAATACTGACTTTGTAGTGATACAGCTGTTGTTTCACTGTATTGAGCTCCGACTGTTGATCCTGTATCACTTGCATAAGGGCTTTCAAATGATTCATCAATGGTGCGGCAATGGCAGTAAGCTGAAAGCTTTTCCTTTGAAATTAGTTCCCTTTAACACATTTTATTATTCTCTTTGAAAGTTCATTTTATATTAGACCGTTCCACAGACCAAATTTCACTAACCTTGTAGCAGGGCACGGAGGGTAGGTTTTTCTCGGCGTCATCAAGGACAAGCAACGAAGCGCCAGGATTCGTTTCATCGGCCTCTTTTCGTGCATTCATACCTAAAATTAAAAGTTCCGAATTGAAATGGAGAAAAGGATAGGCTCTTATCAATGGTATCTATTAGGTTGGAAGGAAAGTCCTGCAAGAAAAAATTTGAAGCGTCAGCAATTTGTATCAATAGAGTGAACACGGTAGCAAGAGTGATAACCTTGTAGGGCATTCCTCAGGTAATCAACGCATGAGTAAATAAGGGCCGCGTGTGGGCTTTAGCAGCATTACGGTCAATGAATGGACGACACCCGATTCGTACCATCACCTTCTACTAAGCACGCCAAGGGAAAAACGCGGGTGTAGTGGCTCAAATTATCAGCAACTTCAATGCTCAATGCTGGCACTGCTCACGGATCAACGGTCAACAATCGGTTGGATCGCTTCGCTGGAGGAGATACTAGCCTTCGAAGTTACGCAAGCATCGTCTCTTTATTCAATGGAGGTTGGAGGGATCCATCCACTATGAGTTGCTTAACGCAGACTAGATGGACACAGCTATCGGTTACCGCTATGAACCCCGAAATTTGGCTAACAGGTTCGAGAAGGACGATCAAAACCATAAATCAGGTCCCTACAGAGGGTCAACGCAGTCGAAATTTCGCTTGAAACACGCGTCAAAAGTTCAGTCAGTCGTACTCCCCAATCGTTGTCCCTTTTACCTGCCACGCGCTCCGCCTTCTTGAGCATCCCGTTGTTTAAAAAAATTCGTAACTTAATGTGATCTGAAAACGGCAGTCAATTACTTCTCTGAGTCACAGCTTCCCCACTCCTACATAAAAGGCATCAGTGTTTTACTCAAAACATAATACATAGAAGGTTGTTGACCTCTTTGGTGAATAAATTTCCGAAAATTGATTGGTCTAGAAAGTTTTAGAAATGATTCGAAGAAGACCTTCATTGTGTTGCAAGACTTTCCTTCCAACCTAATACACGATATTACCTTGATTAATACTGTCAAGTAATCGATTTCCGTGCACTATAGCAGACATCGCTAGCTCTTTGCAATCGCGTTGCTTCAAATCTGCCACGGCCAGACCGCCTAACAATTCCGTTAGCTTCTCCAGCTCTTCTGTCCTTCCCTTCTACAAAATTAAGTAATTACAAGCTTAAGTAGCTCCTACTTAAGAAAATCCAAGCAGGTCCCTGATTTAACGCGACACCTTGGGAGAGCACCTTGATTGGTGGTTGCACCCGACCAATGGCAGGCTCGGAAGGCACGATGGTCAACAGACCGGTGCCGCTGACTGAATTAATCAAGCTTCTCTCAAATTTACCTTCTCTCCAGGTAAAAATTGTGCCAAAATTGTTTGCTTGGTAAGTAGAGCTTGGAAGATGACGTCATCACTACGCCGTAATCGTTCCGTTGGGGTGAGTACTGGTTGGGCATGTTCTAGTACTGTAGGTTGTTGCACAGTAATTTCTGATGCATGAACCAGTCGTGGGTGTGTTAGCACATGGACCTTTAATGACATACTTATTAATGAAGTAAAGGTGGGAACAACGGGAAAAGCTTCTAACCTTTGCTAAACCATCCGAATCCAGGGATGAACTCGTGCCAACTTCAAAATTGCAGTGTCTGCAGACACAATAATAATTCAATCAGTAAGAAAAAGGTGAATCGTCGTATTACTTACTCGATTCCTTGAGTTTGATGTTTTTTGTCGTTCTCGATCTGATCGGATATCAATTTGAACCATCTGAAAAAAATGAATGATCACATAACCATGCGATTGCACATTAAAGAGTGCCTCTTTGTAGTTATCAAGATTGGCTGCGCGCGGTCGCGAAGCGCGACAAGGCTATTCAATCAATACTCGTTAACACCCACAAGCATGCAATTGTTTACACCCCACACCCATCAACGACAATAGAAAGTAGCAACGATGCTGTTACTGCGCATGAATAAAAAGGGCCCCCAGAACTCTCTATTGATCGCCTAGACTACCCAATTAGGCCTCAATTAGCCTGGCTGTCAGTCGTACTACCGGTAGGAAGACTGTTAAGCTCTCCGAAATGCAAGGACCCTGGTACTAGCCATTTCGTAGTTATGTGACTCACGTCTTCCTTTCAGTTGCCGTGGCTGCTACAAGCTCATAGATCTGTGCACCATATTGACTGTTGAACACGAGAAAGAATGCCCGTTTGTCATTTGCCTTCTCCTTTGCAATCAAAGGAGCCAACGGCATTATCGGTGACCATTTCGTTTCTTTTGATGGTTCCAAAGTCTGAAACAGTTAACGTATGATTACAAAGAGCAGTTGGAATAAAATAAAAAATGATAGCAAGGAGAGCGCAAAGTGCAGGATCTTCCCGAATATCCACAATCTTAGCCAAGTCTAAATTAAAATATACTACAAAGTTGTGCCACTACAGCATAACAGTACAACCTTTCTAATGCGGGAAATGTGCTTCAAAACTCATGATTCCACTACCATAACGATGAACGGCATCTAAGTGTATGGCGCATCCCGAGAAGAAATGTAGCCATGTCAACTTACCAGATGATTTTTGGCCGATACGGATGAAATTGCCTTCTTAAACGGTATTGTATAGCCCTACTGACACTATATTACGTTCATGAAAGGGGTATTAAAGTAAAACGAGTCCTTAAACCAAATTCTAGAATGGAGAAAACATCATTAGTGAAATTTATAAGCATCGGGACCTAACATTATACTTCAAAGAAAAAAAGTTATTAAGTTTTGTGAACTGTGGGTGTGGTGCAGTAGGAACGAAATTGTCGCGTCGCGGCGAGAGACGTCACGAGCGAAGGAGTGTAGCAGAGTGCAGCAGCAAGTAAGAAATACAGGAACAAAAGAACTAATAGTAGGATCATGCCAATAGTAACAATCGTATAGCGATTGAGCTGTATGAAGAGCGCTAGAACTGTTATAGTGAGGCAAATGGCCCACGACAGCCGCGTGCGACGGATCGATTACACAAAACCGTTCCTACTGCCCGTCTCCCCGAAACTGCCCTTACCTTCAATTGCAACTTGTTACCATCGCTGTGCTTTGTGAGAAATACCAGCATGTTCTCCAGTAATACCACATGCAACTCGATCATCTTTCCTCGATTGAATCGACACGTCAACGGGCCGTCATGTACGAGACGGTATCTGAAATGGGTACTGGTGAGTAGTTACCCAATGATTTTACCACAACTATCTGGAAACTTCATTTTAAATTTTACTTTCGCTTCCTGGCAAAAGCTGTACATGTTTCTTGAAACAATCAATTAGCTTAACAATGCTCCCACGTAATCAATTCTCATTCAAGGTAATAATTGATGGCATGGCTTGCACAATGAGTTGCCAGGAAAAGCCAAAGTACAATTCAGTGTCTTTTCGATCCTTTCAGACAACTTCGTTGTCAATTGATTGACGTAGAAGCTATAGAAGGTTCAATTGACAAAAATAGAGATCCTCAAGAAATTCCATTCAGGGATATACTTGTGAAAGCGCGACATGGAACTACCCTATAAACCCCCAGTGGTGTATCTTTCAGGCAAGGCTGGGCTGAATTGGACGAGTTTTGATCCGAGGTATGGCCTCAGCTTACATGAATGGTAATTTCGTCACTTGTTACGACCCAATAGCCTTTCTTGATGGTAGAAGAAATCACATCGCAAATTCCTCCTAATAACAACTTAATCACCCATTTCTCACTAAATCTGTCCCTTATTTTCTGGAGGAAGTTGAACAAAAGGTAACCTGAAGGAACACTAAGTCTCTTCCGTATCATCTACCTAAACGAAGTATAAACCCAAGTCAAGTCAAAGTGCAGAAAAGTCAGTAGTACTGCTTCTGGAAAAGAGGATGATGTGGGCGATCATTCTGATAATGGAGAGCCGGAATGGACCACCTCCAACATAGTTTTACTTATTTTTATTCACAAGTTACCTTAAATTCTCCATTTGTTTTGCCTCTTCTATTGCAGCCTCACATTACAACTCATAGCGCTAAGTATTTAGCAATATCACTCTCTTGTTACAACTAATTATCCTTCTTTATACAAAGGATATAGTGTTACCACATCAGTGTTGACCTGTTGAAATGTGTGAACACAACCTACGGACCTCTACCCAGTTATTGAGGTCGCGCATCGCCTTAGGACTGAACGGGTCATTGGTCCCGAGGCGATGGGCGGCCCCTGACCCAGTAGTTGGCTAGTTGACCTGCTCTTGTCTTTGTCACTCTATCGCTGCCGTTCATTGCGCTAATATCCGTATTACATTACTACTTGATAGAACTATTAAATAATTTTGCGGTTTCAGATATTCTTAATGCACTAATGAGGTTCCTTACGTTGTTACGTTTATTTTGGCGTAGGATTCGAAGAGTTAGGAAGGTAGGTGCACACATCCTTTCATTTCTGCCTTTTAGAAAACGTGATCATTGAATTAGTATATTTTACATATTTTTACTTTTTTATTCTTATATATTTAACAGGTTTACAACTTAGTGGACAAGCAAAGAATGGAACTCCTTGGAAAAAGGGACAACATACGAGCAACGGTTAGTTTTTCCAGTTGAATGTATAGTCTCCGAAATTACGGGGGCGATAAATGATAGTATTGTAAAATATTGTTAGTATGTATATTATGTTAAATCTTATAGGCATCGACATATCTGTCATTCAACCGACCTCTTCCACCGTCAGAAGAATACTTCCTACACAGGAGCACTAGCACCATACTGGACAGGTATTTCAAGCTTCCAATACAGCCCTAGTCTACCGTATTGATTCCATTTTAACAAGTAGAGGAGAAATGCAAGTAGCTCCTGTATGCCTCACACTTTCTAGACTGATTGCTGCCAAATGCACCCCCGTAGCCCAATCCCATTCAATTCCTTCTAGTAGCCTTAGTGGTATAGCCTGGCTTATTATCGTTCTTAGCAACTTGTCCACTTTCGTATTCGTCATCTAGCGTAATTTTACTTTGAGCAAACATGTACCCTATTGATCTGTTAGTTATGAAAGTAGTATGGTCCGTGTTATCAGTTTGCCTAGTGCAAGCGTAGTGGCACAAACCCATGTCGATGAAAACCGCAAGGTCATCGGAATCTCCTGACCCATTACTGACTCTTAAGGAATAGCCTTGCTAGCTAGCCTGCCTAGTTTCCTCTAGAAACAACCTTCAAATTGCCATGTTATCCAGAAAATACTAGGAGCAAAATGTTTTAAATTTTAATATAGTAGTTTTATTTCAAAATTTATTTTTTTATATTAGTGAGTTTAATTTAAATGTTTCTTTAATTGAAATAGCACCATATTTTAGGTGTTACCTCTTCACCAGCTCTGCATGTCCTAATGATACAGAATACTGGGAAATAGATGACACTATTGTAAGTAATCTATACTCGTAGTCCTTTGAGTTCTGTCTCAAATCGTAGAATCGTAGAAACATTTCAGGCTGATGACAAAAAGGAATATGTTTTAACTGAAACTGAAGGCACGGCTGTGTTGAAACGTTTTAATGCCACAAGCGACCTTCAGCCGACTTTCACTAACGCAGCCAAGGTAAAATTCCTGTTCAAGCCGTGTACAGAACTAATTGAATAGTTAGTAATTACTACTTGATTGGCTTATTTCAGAACAACTCGATGTTTTTGGGACTTATCGATGCGCTGAAGACCTCTATTAAGTCGCCGAGGAAGAGACCACTACATAATTCCTTATTTATTGTGAGCACTTTGGGTGTTATGACAGAGCCTACATGATATACGCCACGCACGAGCATTTCAAAGGATCGGGCAGCGAGCCTGGGTCAAGATATACCTCGAAACCAGGGGATGCGCGCGCGGCGTCCTAGTTTCGGTTAGGCAGTGATGTTGGCACATCCTGACCCACCCTGCCATGAGGCAGCTACCTTTGTCTACAATAGTTTTTGGTTACTCAAGTAGCACAAGTGTACGACATTATTTTCCCCAATTTTTCCGGTTTCAGCCCGTCTGCTCCTCTACACCGTTATGTATCAGCTCGGAATCTGTTTCCATCTTGCCGAATAATAATGAAAACATCAGCGGATACTATAGATCTTTGGATAAACATGTCGTGAGTTGTATTTGAAAAATGTTTGATTATTGTAGATATTTAGTGTAAAACGTGTTGTTGTTTCAGTCAATTCCGAAATTCCCACCACCTCCACCGCCTGTCGAAGAGTTCAAAGAAGACACAATGGTTATGATTGATAGCGATGACTTCGCTGTAAGTGTTAAGTAGGCCTTGTAAGTCCCAACGACCTTCCCTACGTGTCTTGGTAATTTCAGTTATGGGAGATCGAGAACTGTCGTACTTGCGTGGATTCGATGAGCCCAGATTTATCGCTTTGTGAAGAGTCCATTATACTGACCGATGTGAGTTGCTTTGTTACTAACACTAATGAATATAGTCTAAAGGTAGACAGTGGAGAAGACAAAACTGCGAGCCATCTGAGACACCGCATTTTGTGGGGCAGGGTGTTGGGATCGTAAAAAGGTAGCTACACGTGGGCATAAACCCTTGGGAATCCCAGAACACCACTCTCCAGGAACTTGCCCAACAGAATTAGCCACGTGGTTCACTCGGTGAAACACACCGGTTCAACATTATCTGTTACCATAACCAATGATACCGCTCACTTCCTGATGCTCCTCTACCGAACTTAGATCAATTAGGTTTTACTCCCCTTTTCAGCGATTAGGATCAAGTTTAATTACTATATATTATTATTAATTACATATTGGCTACATTAATCATCGAGAAATGTTTAGAATGAGGTCGATCTGAACGAGACGTTCATCGAAGAAATGACATTTTACGTCGACCGACCACCATCAGAAATGAGCGTCTTACGTGTCTACAGCAAAACCAATCCATCAAAGTTCGAGGAAATCTTTTTCTTGTCAGAAAGTATTGAAGTATGAAAACGTGTCATTACTCTCATCTTATTGCTCTTGTATTAATACTGTAAATATGTACGTAGATTTGTTAAATAGTGAAACATAGCTTGTGTAATATATGTATGTGTCATACCTGGAATTTTTAATAACATTAATAAGCTAATAATCTTATTAATAAATAAGTTCTGTGGTCAGAAGTACAAGGTTTTCTGAACGGAAATGCTGGAAACTCATTATGATAAAATTCAAGTTGTTTGCCAGATTAGGGACAGAGAGACATGAAAGAAAGTTCTTTTTCAGACTTAACGGGATTAGTAGTATTGAACTAGATCTATGATCATAAGTGAATCTAAAATCTATCGTTAGTCAAGGAAGAACTAATAAACGAGTGGAAAAAGACGCCCCCATTCCACCTAAAGAGGCCCATCTACGTATGAAGGCCCATATATCACACTCTTCCTTATGTCCCTGCAAATTGGAAGGGGAAAGCTCAAGTCACAAGGGGGTCCACCTAGCTCTAATCGTCGTAATCGTCAGGTGCCCAATCTCTGTTGAGAAAAGGACAGTGGAAGATAACAGACTGCTCTACAATCCACTCATTTTTGGTTTGATACCTTCTGCTTTCAATTCACATCGATTCCTTAGTTGAAGTTGAGATTAGAAGTCAAGGAACGAAAGTTTGTGAACATTGAATGTTCGAGATGATGGCCTAACGAGCGTCTATCCACCGGAAAGAGACAAACCGATGGCCTAATATCTATTTTGAATGGAAGAGCTGTAGAGACTGCACCCGAGGATCCAGTACTGGCATTACGTCCAGTGAGAGCTGGCATACAGCATATCATAACCGGTTAAGGCCAAGAACGCTGAGTCCAGTTTGGTTCGATTTGTCTCTACCATGAACAGGCCAGGCCAGAAGCTAGATTTTTGCCTAGCACGAAAAAAAAAGTGATAATAGCAAACATTCCGCTCGAGACTCTCGACCCGTGCTTTTGCTGTGGGACGACTGACCAAGAAGTGGATCAAAACGGAGATTGTCCGTTGCGCGCGTCCGTCGAAAGTAGGTCACCCCGCCCACTTCGCGCGCGGCGCACCCCACTGAGGTCTCGAGATGACATTACAGTACCACCACGTGTCAGTGGAGCGAATGATTTGCATTTGTCCGTGTTATCTTCTATTTGGCTGACTGCCGTGGACCAAGCGCAATCGTATGCCCCACTGACAACTGCGACGTCCGTCAAGTATCGCGGGCCGATAAACCGCATGCGACGGTTGTGGCGTGACCTAGTTTCGACGAACGCGCACAACGAAGCGCATCCGATCAAAACACCCAAGTTGAAAGCGGGTGATGAACCCAACCGGTCATATCAGTGCTCCCAACAAGTTTGCCTCAATAACTGCTAGAATGACTTACTTTGTGAGATTCAGGTAAGCATAGTCGTGCCCACTGAACTCCTTGTCGAAAGGTGTTGTGTCCATTCGACGTTGTAGTTCTTCCAAACGTCGCAAATTTTCGGCATTGCGTTTTGCTGTGTTCACAGCGCTTAGTATTCGTTTTGCCGACACAACCGTACGCAGAAGACGATCTTGTTCCTGAAAATCATCCTGTGCATGAAAACGAGAAACTTCGGAAACAGACATGGCAAAGCTAAAAGCTGAAGCTAAAAATGGTAAAATTATGGGTGAAGGCCTAATTCATTGGGAGGGCAAAGGTTTCTAGAGGTGTAATCACACAAGTAGCGGTTAGAAAAGTGAAATTACATGAAACTTACCAGTTATAGACCACGTTTGATCACCCACAACCACCTATAGGCTCTTTTCTTGAATACTCCGTGCATGCTGACCCCCCAACGTTTACTGTTCATCAGATGAACGGATCGAATGTAATTGTAAGAATACCTCGCTAGGTTCATTCGTATACTTGGCGATGGTTTCCAGTAAAAGCGGATATTTCACGAGGCGTTGCATTTCAACGGGTATCATGTCCTTCAGTTGTAATTTGCGACAGAGCGCGTTTGCTTCAGCATCAGCCAGAAACCGCACTAGAGCGTCCTCTTTGTCTTTTTTACATCTGAAAATAGATATCTGTTAACCAGTAAATATGATGTAAAGTTAGAAACATCGGTAGTGACTCCTAAGTTTTTGACGTCAGGTTTAGAACATGGCTCAGCGGTTCTGGCCGCCACTAGATCTGCGCATTTCTGAAAATTCTCCCTATTGTCTTCAAATAGAGGGATTTTTTCCTGGCTTAGTACCCAATAGACCCACATCATAGCTTTTTGTGGACTGGTCTGACACTTCTTACGTAGCTTTTCGACAAATCGCCCTTTCGCTTTGGTTTCCACAACGCCAATGTAGCTGTTCTTCGATGTAAATGTGCCTTCTATCCTGAAATTTTGGCCGCCCACCCCATTTCCCACCTAGGAAGACGGGCAGTAGGGAAGGTTTTGTGTAATCGACCCGCCGCACGCGGCTGTCGCGGACCATTTGCCTCTTTGTAACCGTTCTAGCGTTCTTTATACAGCTCAATCACTATGCAATTATTACTTATGGCATGATTCTAATGTTAGTTCTTTTGTTCCTGTATTTCTTACTCGCTGCTGCATTCTGTTGTATTCCTTCGCGCGCGGCGTCTCTCTCACTGCGACACGAAAATTTCGTTCCTACTGCACCACACCCTCCCACCTAGGTTTGTTAAGCCTTCTGCTACCCGGCTACCCAACTTGCGGACATTTAATCAAGCAACTGAAGTGAAATCAGACCTTGTTCTTAACATTTCGAGGGCATGCTGTTGATGTTGGCAGAACGTTGATGTGACTTGCATGAACTTTTCACCAGCTTCGCCTTCAAACATCTTCTCCATCAATTCACCAATGTTACCATAAAGGCCATTCAGGTTTGGATCTCGTCGCCACTGAAAGTGCCGAGTAAAGAAATGCAAAGCTGTTTAAGTTAAAAGGAATTTAAGAAAGTGAGTGAGTGAGCTATCGTTTATTTATCAACAGGTATGGCTTTATATCAAAAATAAACACACAAATTGAGTTGAGCTGGTGGGGTGGGGTACATAAAAGGAGGATCTACAGTCGAAAGACCGTACTTTGTAAAAATTAAAAAAAAAACTGAAAAAAGGTCACATAATCAGCTGTTCTGGTGAACGGATGCGGTACTCTTACAGTACACGGATAGGCTCTGTTACAGAAGGAATTCATCTTTGGTTGTATGATGGTGTGGCGGTTGAGAATCCCGGTCAGACTACCAATTGAAAGGGCTGTACGACTACAAAGTAGGAAGCACCCGGGACCCTATACATATGTCTGTGTTGGGAGTGGTATAGGGATTGGCAGAAAATGATGGGAAATGTTGTAGGTGGGCTAAGCGTACCTAAAATGGGCAGAGACCCAAAATAACGGGTAAAATTCAGTTCTTATAGATTTAATAGTCTATGAAAATTTGCTCGATGTTGGCCTTTAGCCAAAACCATCTATGTTTCCTTTGTCAGACACATTTCACTTTCTTCCCCGAAACGATTTGCTTTACCTGTTCAACGGCTTGTCGCATTCGATTTGACATATCCGTATGAATTTCCAACAATTGGTCCAAATTTGCAAATAACAAATGCACAACGTCCGGTGATACAACATTATTCATCAGCATAGGCTTATAGAATACCCGTAATAATATCTTCAGATTCCGTACATGAGTCCGTTCCGTATGGAAAAGTTCTGAAAATTGAGATTTAAGAAGCATTGAGGAGATTCAACGTATTCCCATCAGTGGCACGATTTACGTTGAATATGGTTTCTGAGACTTCTTCCTTGGATGAACCTGTGTCTGTGCCTCAGGTTAGCCTAAGGGACGCTGACGGGTCGAAAAACACCGGCCTAGCAGACGTTCACACTCCGAGGCGGACGAGTTCGTGAGCGTTGTAAATGCTACAGAGGTGCACCATGCGCCCCGGGACCCACACCATGCACGCAGGCCGCATGCAATGGCGCGCACGTTCAAACTGCTCGTTCAAATATCCATTCTAGGCAACCGCTATCGTCACAATCTTGTCCAACATCTTAATTTTTTTTGAAGACTCAAATTTTCCTAGATACGCCGTTTCCCGCATTTTCTTGGCCACTTTTGCACTATACTGGACTATCACTTTCATAACTCGTCTAAAACTAGATGACCCAAAATTATAGTAAACTGTGCCTCTAAGGGATATAATTGCTAGTCTAGCCCAGTCCTTCGACGGGGCAGGGATATAACAGCCCTACAAAAGGAGGCCAGGCAATAATCATACCGTTGATGACTTCCTGCCGTTTCTTTTCCTTTGGTTTCAGATGCCGTATGACATCCCAACCAACAAGCTGATCAAGGGGAGGAGCTTCCGTCTCCACCTCCAGATCGCTATCATCTTCGTAGATGGACGACGCCTGCATTCGTTCAACAGCACGTTTCATCTGAACAGAGTATTTTGTCGCTTTTAGCCGAGTAAATTTCAAGAAGAGAACATTTGACAAGTAATCACTTCGTCATCCATCATACTTGTATGCGACATACTAGTCGAACTACCACTATTACTTTGTGCATCAAGGGCAACTCGGCTTCCATCCAGTGACCTGAAAACAATTTTACATTTTTTCTCCATCAAAAATTCCATTACTTGAAAGATCCAAAACTCGTCCTTGACGACTTGGGCTAATGTTTGGCAATACACTCTAAATTTCCAAACTATCCAAACAACGCCCAGCAAGGGTGCGCTTCGTGCACGTCCGTCGAACCTAGGTCACGCCGCAGCCGTCGCACGCGGCGCGTCAGTCCGCGATTTTGGACGAACGTCGCGGTTGTCAGTGGGACGTTCAATTTGCGCATGGACTGACAAAATAAATGCAAATCTTTCACTCCTCTGACATTTACTGGTACCGTAATGTCATCTCAAGATCGCAGTTGGCTGGATATTAGAAAATTCAACAGCCGCATTTACGCGGTGGCTTCGGTGACCCGGTTTCGACGTGGCATGGCACTTCCTGACCCGCGTGTAAGTTTACGCTTGATGGGAGGTTACTAACATGCAGCGAGACCACCTCCACCTAATTGGTGTGGTCAGTCGAATAGACAGAATTCCGACATGTGTTGGTAGTTCTCTTTCATAGGTACTGGCCAGTTAAGTGTCCATAGTTGGTTCTCCATACCAAAGGCTACAAGACACTGCGCTCAGTCACGGGATCCTCATCATTTAGCTTTTCACATTATTTTTGAAAAATTGTAGCGAGCATTCCACTGACCTCGCTTCTGACCTCGACTCGACTGTTCGTAATCGTCGTGTGCTTTCCTCTTCTTCATCGGCTGGTGGAAGATCGCTACCCCAAGATGGAGTTGATCGATCACGTTTGGTTGTCAATCGTTCATCGGGGATTTGAGGTATCGTTGACTAGAATTCAGCAATTTCTTCCTGATTGACAAAGAAGGAATTCAAATGTCAACTTAACTAATCTGGGATCAGTAATCAAATTAAAACTAAATTCGGAACATAAGAGAACAAAAACTGGGCCACAGTGCACATCATCAAACAAAATAAGTGGAATAGAAATGATTGTAAATCACAGTGCTTTTCTTACAATTTGATCAACATAATTCTCTGCTCATAAGGATAAATTCAGAGAGCCTTAGAATTAAACAATTTCAGGAGGAGGGCTGATTTTTGGTGATTTGAAACTCCTCTTCTCTTCTTGTGAATTCGTATTCGAAGGGACACTAGCAAATTGGACAGTGGAAACTATTGAACCCTTAAAAAAATGGTTGCCACCGGAGAAGAGGGACTCTAGGCACAGTTGAGCTAGGCCACTTCTAAACACCTATACGTTGTGCGTTTAGACTGACTAGGTGGCCATGAGCCCCCATTGAGGTCACAACCGGCTAAAGACAACGGCACACAATAACCTAGAAGGAGACTCTCGACCGTTCTCGATGAAGCTATACGGGAGGGATATCAGGTGCTCTTATTACAAGAATTACCCTCCCAGGGAAAGTCAGGGGCGTATCAGGAATTTGAGTCTTGCTAAAGTGTAGACGCAAAAGCTAGAGTGAAAATTAAAAGGAAAGGGAAAGTGTACAGCAAACTTAACGGAACGTCACAGAAGACAGACCATTCGAGTAGGGAAAAACGTGGAAGACTATGCTCACATATCGAGCAATGTTGTAACTCAGTCGGCCTTCAAAAATGTCTGCAGCGGCTCTCGTATTAAAAGCATCCGAAATCGAAGCTGTTCAGAACAATCTTTAGGCTTTTTGGAGTTGTTTATACTTGGGAACCTCGGGAGACGGGCAGTAAGATCGGTTTTGTGCAATGGATTCGCCGCGCGCGACAGTCGCGTACCATTTCCCTCGTTATACAGTTCTAACGTACTTCATACAGATCTGTCGCTATGCGATTATTACTTATGGCATGATGCCAGTTCTTTTGTTTCTGTGTTTCTTACTTGCTGCTGCATTCTGCTACATTCCTTCGCGCGCGGCTTCTCTCTCGCCGCGACGCGACAATTTCTCTCCTACTGCACCACACCCTGAATCCGCAGGTTCCGAAATAGGTCTCTAGTAATGGGTTTGGTTAAAAAGCTCCCTGCAGACACTTTAAATTACAGCACATCAATATTGTATCCGTGAGAGTTGGAAGGGTCACTGCTTCACAGATGTCAGCTCTCTGAAGGTGTGAAATGTTGCTTCCGCATACTAGATACAACATTTCTAGCCAGCGGACCAAACTACTTCCTTAGATGGGTTTTTAGCAGATTCAGTGATCCTTCGGCATCGGAGCCATACGGGGGTGCGCTTCGTTTCGCGAGTCCGTCGAAACTAGGTCACGCCGCAGCCGTCGCACGCGGCACGTCGGCTCGCGATTTTTGACGGACGTCGCTGTTGTCAGTGGGTATACGATTTGCGCTTGGTCCACGGCAGCCAGCTCAAAAAAAATAGCACAGACTACTCGCTCTACTGGCACTTAGTGGTAATGCCATCTCGAGATCGCAGGGGGTGGGCCGCGCGCGAGTGGGCGGGGTGACCTAGTTTTGACGTGCGCTTGGAACGAACGTTCCCCACCAGGCGCGAAATGCAAATTCCTCTGCTACACGGGTACCATATTCAGGTTCAGTGGGTTAGGCAACCTTGAGAGACTAGTTTTGGGAGTTATTCAAAACTGTGAAAAAACTGTGAAATTGAGGTTGATCTCAAATAAACGGGTTGAAAAAGGTAGGCTCGCCAAGGAAGTACGCCTTTGATCAACTCTACAACCCCAAGTAGACTGGTACACGCTGTACGTCCCATAAGGGGATGATCAACACAGTTGTGAGTCCGTAAATAAGCGGAGTACCGACAGAGTTAAAAAGCTCGATAGTTCACAAATTACTATAAAGGTTAGCGTCTATTCATGCTCACCACACGATTTCGCATACTATGCGATCTACCAACAGGTTTATCGTGGATCTCCTGGCCAATGCCGGAATCCGAACTTGTCGACTTCACATTGTGCTCGACCCGTGGCGTCTCCTCGTCTTCTGCATCTGATTTGCCCATCAAGCCGGCACGTCGTGTCTAAAATGAAGTTCCTCAAATGACAGTATCTCAAAATATTTACTTGAAATATAATTGTATTGAGAACAAAAAAGGTAAACCAAACGTAGCGAATTGGTATCTCTGGAACCTCTCAGTTAACTGACTCCGTAGCTGGAGTGTCATCAGTCGGCGTGTACTTACTTTCTCAAAACATTCAGAATCTTTTATGAGCCCAGAATTGGGGAATAAGGTGGGCGAAAGGGGTACGGTGGTAAATGACACACTACCACTCGAGCACAATCCCAAGATTCAGCTACTGATCGATACTCGCCCAGGCCAAAGAAACCTTCCATTCCCCGGAAGGATTAGTTCGTACTAGAAATTTGGACTATAGAAGCACTGACTTGTACAGTCACTGGCTATCGCAACTCCACAAAATACGCATTCAACACGCCACTACGATTCTGAATGGGAGCCGGATGCCCGGGAGGCGGTACGTCTTCCCGAATTTCCACGGCAAGCGGCAGTTGTTCCGCGACGTCTTTCTACTGGGAACTCAAATCTTTTCGTAAATGCACGCGAGCGCGCGCGATCGGGTGCAGCAAACGCGTCGCGATTTACGGGGATAAGATACCACACCCGATGTTGGTAATTTCACGTGCGCTGTTTGGAAGCAAACTCTTCACCGATTCCATTCTAGTTATTGATTTACTCACTTATTTATTCTATTAATTTATCAAACTGCTCTTAAATACGTGCTTTAAAGATGAACCGCGGTGTGGTGAGCTACTAAACACAACACATTCAACCATGATTTACTAATAAACTCCTCAACTTATGAGGGTTCTACTAAAGTGCCTACTTTGTATATGTCTACCAGTTTTGAAGTACCTGAATCACCTTTGATTTGTGTTTGCCTTGTGTTGCCGGATAACACGCATCTGTCAAGGAAGATGTACATTGGGTGTGCACCTTCACGTCGCAATCTAAATAGGTGAGATAAAATGAGGGCATAGCGAGATAGAAAGTAAATTTCCTTATTCAAACTGGTTTTGTATTACTGTATATAGACTTACTGGCACAAAAATAACACCATGGTTGCATTCCCCAAATGGCATCACGACACTGATAGCAGTAATGAACCGTGTTAACCGGATTCACGACAAACATGTGTCCTTTCACCTAAAATCACACAAGCAAATATATTTTTATCAATTTTTGAAAGTGAGACATCGAGATGAAGGAGTACTGATACTAATTCCAAACAATTGGAACAAATCAGGAGCTTTTAGGGACTGAGTACATAGATAGTCAGGGTACCGTCTGTTCTTGTAACTGAAACTCTCCAGAGCAGTATAAGTATTTATGTGATGTACTGCTAGACTGTGATCTCTTCTCTCTCTCGGTTGTTTTGATTTTTAGAAATAATACAAAATGAGATTAACACTGCACAATGGACGTAGAAGTTAAGGAAAAAGATATCGAATTTGTATTGTTTACTACTGTTTTTGCAGCATGACCTGACACGAATTGTTAAAGGCACAGTTCACGATGAAAATGGCTTCTGAAGTTTCCCCACAGGATGAATTTGAGGCTCCCGCGTATAATATATCACTATTAGGTCGGAGAACGGCTTATTTAGAGAGGTATTAAGGGTCAGAGATTGATCCGTGCGTATCCTCGGACGAGTTTCACCGGCATTGTAGAGCCTGCACCGATCACAAGGGGACCAATGTAGGAAGTTCAAACTTCTTATGAGCCGCAGCGACAGTGAAGAGAGTTCTGTACAATTCTGGCTTGATGTAGTCAGCCCTTGGTGCAATTGCAATAACTGAAATCTCGTCCGAATACCCTTCCATGTTATTTCCGTCATGGCAATATCGTCCAACCTCTATTTTCCCTACTTTTAAGATATTTTTCTCCAAATCGGCGAATTCTCTCGCTTTCTTCACTACCGATGAACTATTCCCAATCTATACTTCCGCTTTTCGAACAAAAACGGGACCTCAAAATTATCGTGAACTGGGCCTTCAAACGTGACCACAAAACTTTAGCTTCATTTGCAATATTTATTACTTTTAGCAAGCTCCAGTGTGTTTTTGCTTACCTGGAACTGCTCCTTTAGTGGATTCGCATAGTGTCGGCGAATCAGTTCGAGACTCCTTACCTGCGCCTTAGCTTTGAGACTGCTTGGCGGCTTTCGACTTTTTCCACCTTTATCCTTCATGATAAACTGAGGATAGCGTTCCATAATTTTCTCCCACGATGTCGTTGATGGTTTGGGACCAAGTACGACCTGAAAATGAACACATTATGTTGACACTACATTGCTATTGCTACTGCTACCAGTTACTACCGTGTACTTCGTCAGTCGGTAGGAAACATGTCTAGGGCCTCCTCAATTAAGGAATGATAGGGTGATAATTATGACGTTTCAAAAAATTGCTGACTTAATTCTGGCCAACATCGCTTCACCCTACAGATACGCAATGCGAAACATCCGAAACACCTTGCATCAACACGTCCGTTGGTAGGCGGAACTGGAGCACAGAGGCATAGCTGGGGAGATTTAGGGCCTATTAATATTACATCGGGGGCGTTTCTTGCAGACAAATCGCTTACTAAGGTAATCGATAGCCCTTCAAAGTGCTTTTATAGACAGTAAGGTTATTAGAGAGGGGGATTTTTTAGAACAAGCTTAATACAAAATTTTATTATTAGCTATTTCTGACATCACTACTTTACATTTCTTATTTCATTAAACGTTCAAACCGTACCCTTATTACTGTCGCTAAACTCGCAACGATCGCTTGAGTTTTCATATCACATGAATCGAAGTCGTTGGACGAACCGACAATATTTTCCAAGGCTCGAAACATCATTTGCTCACCGACCTGGAAAAATGGATTTGGTTGACATCATCCGTCGCAGAAATCGAAAACAGATTACTTCAAAACAGAAAATTAATTCAGACGAACCCGGTTCTCCATAGCAGTATCACCACGAGCTAGATTCGCCAGTTGGTTGGCATCAAAGATGGTGCCCAACCCTGAAAAGTAAGAAAAATTCGATCAGTTGAGAGCTTCTCAATCCGACGCTTAGAAAGAACCGTTGTACGGCTCTTCTACGGTTCATCACACTAATTACTTCTGATCAGCTTAATGGCGACTTCTTAAAAATTGAGACTCTTACACATTTCAACTCTTTTATGGACCGACTCGTAAACCAGGTACATTCACAAGTGATTATTTATAATTCTCAATTGAACACCTCTACGATATCAAGGAAGGAACACAGTGAATAGCTCTACTTGGAAATTTAGTCAGGATAAACAATTAATCGTTTCAATTAGTTGATTAGAGCCATAGGCATTCTGTTCATAATGCAACTTATGCAGCTTTGAATTAATCCAACTTGCTGCACTCCACTCCCAGGGTTCTCGTCTCCTTCGAGTTAACTGTAAGCTGAGACCCCATAAACAGATAAGTGATTTAAGGCAGATTGAGCTATTTGGATCAACGATCAGAGCAGTAAATCAGTGGACGAGATTACAGCCTGAACGCCCTTCGTCACCTACAGTAAGCCGACTGCCGAAGAATCGACCATTGATAATATATTGTTGATGTTTACGTTTATTTCTTGATGCTTCAGTATGTTATGTCCTGCCTTTGAAATTCTATCTAACCTCTGTTATGTTGGCTATTCATCCAACCAGTACGGACGAGGAGTCACTGAGATATGGATTGAGCTGATCTTTTCGCGCCGTATTTTTGATCTCTGAGTGGTATTTAAAGTCCGCCATTTGAATGCCCAGTTATTCCTTGTTCGGAGTCAGGAGAACAGTCGTCTGTCCGTTACAAGTCACTACATAAACTAACGTCTAATAATTGTATTGCTTTGTATTGTATAAAGCCCCGCGTGGCAAAGAGTAGAAGAAAGAACAAGTTTTACTACACTGACAGACAACGGAATGGGTATGGTTGAAAAGAAATATAACATTCGATTTCCAAACCTAGTTTTTAATTTATACAGAAAAAAACGTTTCGCATATTGTCATTTTGAAAAGATTCATCGGGAAGAGCAGGAAAGACAGTATTATGCAAAAGATCAGCCATACGAAACTAAGTGAGTTTTATATTAATTGACTATAGTTCCACCCTGTTTAGCATATATGTCTACTCCTCTAAAAAGGTTGTCAAGGGAATTTTTCTCTCTCTCTAGAAGAACTCCTTGAACTCCAAAAGCTCAAAAGGGAAAGCTTAAAAGGGGCGGCAGGACACTGAAGAAGAGACGGGCTTTTTAGGTGTCAACGAGGTTATTTACTGTGGGAAAATCAAGTTAAGGTTCTAACTCCACTTTAGATGTGAAGAAGTTTCTCAAAAAAAAACTAAGGATGCAACTTTAAGTGACACACTTCGGAAAGTATCACATTGTTGAGAGCTCGGAATTTTTATCCTCTCAGAGTACCTCTACCCATGTGAAGGTATGATCACCATTAAACTTTACACTTCGTTTAACTGTTATGAGTTGTAAGAATCAATAGCTATTCATGAAATGTCATAATTTCTTTCTGCTGCTCGAGTTAAGGCGCATTTCTGGGGATGAAATCTGGCCAGATCGATGCACAACCGCTCATCATCCTTCTTTCCCGTCAGCATCCCCCATTCCATCCCCTTGCCGCCACACAAATAGCTAAGATTGGCATCAGCGAGCTTGAAACGGATTCATTTCAAGACATCCCTCGAAACTTTCAGTCGCAGCAAACTCAATCGAATTCGAAAAAGGGTGGATAGTGTCGTTGTTAACTTCGGGAAACGGAATGCGCCGTGCATAACCTTAAACGAAGATTTTCTCAATTAGGACACAAGGTGAAACAATACCAGGAATATGCTCCTGAAGCGAAAACAGAGCCACAAAAGAAGTCGTTCGAGAGGGAAGTGAACCGGGAAATCAGTGCGGGCTTTCGAAATAATATTTTTAAAATGTACTCATTTGTAAGCAGAGAACGGTAGGAGGCTACTAAAAAGAGAAATGTGAGCGAGTGTAAGTCAAACGACAAAAACTTCAAGAAAAATGCAAGTTGAAAAACAATTGCAAATAATTTCTTTAAATAAGTAGAAGCACCATAAGAACGACCTTTCAATGCGGATTTTCTCTAGCCACTTTCACATTTTAGAGCAGGCGTTAGTAGAGAAAAGCATACTTGCTGCTCATTATACTTTTACCATGATGAGCACTTTTTTTAAAAGTAGCGAACAGTAGAGTAACAGATAAAGTGACAGTGATGGTAAGTAGTCAGTTTGAGGGTCCAAGAGTGAACCATTAGCTCTGGCTACAACCAAGGGCAGCGTCACAACCATTTTCCCGTCTTCCACTTTCTTCTACTGAATGTGACCATACGAAACGAAACAGAGCACAAAATACTAAACTAGAAGGAGATGGCGGATCTGGGGAGCTTCAAATGCAACAAAATCCGTCAATTTTATCGCGACCACGTTTAAATGTTTTGAAATTGTTGAGGGGAGAACTCATAAGTTAGAATAGCAGAAATCGAGTCACGGAATCGAAATTAGACTATTAAGCCAGTCTGAGCCGCAAGTTCTCCAGAAACTTTCTCATCTTTTACGTCTATGGCTTCGATATCACATCTATCAAACACATATGAAGAAAGGAATTAGTCAGGGGTCTCACCTAGTTGTCGTTTCTGACGAAAATTTGCCATATGCTCGTTGATGTCCGTGACGGCACGTTGTCGGCCAGGAACAAATACCCGTTTCAAGATCTCCACATCCGATTCGCAAATCTGCTCGGACGTCGTGGCAAGAATCTAAAGAATTGGGCATCTTTCACCAGAAAAACCTTCGGATCGGATTTCATGACTGAGCAATTCAACATTTAAAAAATCAAAATCAAAAACAATATGAGAATTTCATGCGCAGACTATGTCATGTCCTAGGAATAATGTTTAATCAGTACAAATCTGATAATCGCGTATTTACCAAACACCAATAATTGCCTAGACGCCGACTTCGGAAATTCGATAAATTAGCCTTCATTTCAAGGCAATGGTCTGAGAGGTGTCTAAGACGAAGGCAGACGCGAGTCTCCTTTGATCGATCACCTACGTCGCCTTCCTCTGAACTCTTCTTCAAAACTCTGTCATGGAGCTGTACGCTCCGGATACGGAGAACGTCCGTTGCGCACGTTTGTCGAAAGTAGGTCACATCGCCCACTTCGCGCGCGGTCTCCGCATGCGATGGCTGCGGCGTGACCTAGTTTCGACGAACGCGCGCAACGATACGCACCGTTCGGAAACCGCTTCGCGTTCGTGGAGTGCACAAAGCCGAGTCTGATATCAAGTCTTATACTGCTATTCAGAATGAGATATGACAGCGAGAAAGAAAAGGAGGAGACGGTTGGATGCACTATCATGTAATTGAGACAGACAGAGCTAACTATCATGTAATTGAGGTGGGTGATTAATAAAATTGTACTTGCTGGCCGGTTAGAAAAAAAACTCAGTGCGCTATTTACTAGTACACACTTCATCGCCCTGCTGCCTCCAATCGGCAATACCATGTAATGATAATTAGTGATAGTTGATAGCATTTCACTTGAACTTTATAAAATCTCTGGAAGTATTAAAGAACGGCAGAAAAAATGTAGTAGTTAGAGGGACAGAAGAAGGATCTGATGGAAAAAGGCTCAGAAAAAAATTATCTAACAATTTATGGGTCCGCGATGGAAGCACTATAGTGGACCTCACATCTTTCTTGTTACCACTGTAATCACCAGATCTCTCACCTTGTTGAGGTGAGTTGGGGATACAACGCCGCCCTTTTATAGTTCGATTAAATGAATACACAAATGAGTTGCTTTTGGCAAGTCACCAGAAAGGAAACTCTTATCATTCCGACTACCGTTTCCTATACAATAGCCACCAATCAATTCATATCTAAACTACGGTCACTGATCGGCGGTATGGGCGCGATTCCCAGGTGAGGGAGGCGCACAAAATTCAAATCGTAACTGACGACTTTGAGATAAGGGATTATTTCAGGGAAACAGAAGCCAGGTAACAGTACTGAAATTTCATAAATTTAAAAATTTGTGCCATCAAGAAAACACTTCTGTGTGGAGCGGCCAGAAAGAATAGGCAGAATTTTGTAGTTAATGATCCCTGCTTTTTTTTTTTTAAATAGAACTTGTAGGTATTAGCAGTATAACGGTCAAGAGATCAATGTGGTAGAGCCCTTCGCAATTACCAACGACTTCTAGTGAAGGTTAAGCTCATTGTGCTCGAGGTATCGCTTTATTTAAAATGTTTACTTACAGATTAAAGATGTTGTATGAAATCAAAATAAATTATTTTGGATGAATATACCATCACATACCTTATCGATTGGTTGTATAATGCTTTGATCGGAGTTTGGAATTACAAGCGGTGAATTCGGTATGACGAACGTCGTAAAAATTTCGAACGCCCATCGTCGAAAATCCTTCGGCGCACCTTGAGCATTTTGGAAGGCATCCGTAATCACATAGAAGAACTGAAAATGCATAGTTCAACGATTCCATTGTTTATATATGATGATATATGGTTGTATATGATGAATATAAGGTATTTGAAAGATATTTCTAGATCTATATTCACTTATTTAATGAATTTTCAATACATAGTAGCTGGAGCGGAAGTTGTGCCGTGACGCACTATAAACATGGTCAGGGGATAAAATCCCGGCTGGCTCCTCCAGGACAACCAAGCCTTCCATTATCCGGGATCGGTTATTCGGTACTAGGCTTGTCCTCAAGGAGAAAGTTACTGTCTCGTACGTTGGCTGGCCACCCACCGAATTCTGAATGAAATCGGAATGCGAGGCGCACCCCAGGAACGAGATTAAATAACACCAAAGATCTTATCCATCATCCATAAGACAAGGCAAATATGTCATCATAGAGCAGAGTGAAGGCATGGTGGGAGGTTTGGTTAAATAGGTAAGAGCTTTGTGCATAGAATGACTACTTCAATGGTTCGATTCCCATCCTTTACGAGATGAACCTTTGTCTGGAACTCAGTACCTTTGTGATAACACAAATGAGCTAGCTCCTAAAGCGATTAGTTGCATAGCCGAGCGGTCTCGTTAACGTTCCACTAGGTCGATCGCCCGAGCAGCTCGACCCCCATATTTTTCGTCTCAATAAATTATTCACACGAATTCGCTAATCTTCGTTGGACCACTTGTTTATTCGTGGCTAATGTTCGCCCCGACAAGAATTGGTGTTTTTGCGCTGCCAAGTCGCGACAACCAAATCCATGGGCATTACTCAAGAAATCGCGTCTCGATCACAACATAATCACGGTAATAGAGCTCTGAACTTCGGAGAAACGAATCATCTTAAATCAAAATACTACGAGTTTCAATACAAAAAAGTAAATCATGAAACGGAGGCCAATGAACCACAAAAAAAAAATAAATTTTTGTGAAACAGATAATCGCCCGAGAATTAGCGTCTAATGATGTCACAATGATAAAAAGGGGCTTTTCAAAAGTTTGGCCCTCGAAATCTTTCATGCCCATCCACCCACCGCTTCTCCCGCTTTCTTCCTGAACTGAATGCCAGCAAAGAAAAAATGTATATAATGCCGTAGACCGGGTTTCAAAAATAGCAGGCCCGGCTTGATTAGCACAAATTTCCTTGGTGGAAACAGAAGCACAGAAGGGATTAATAGTCCCAAAAATCTAATACCGCTATAAAAGAGTGGCAAATTGAGATTGTAACTTCTGGGCCAACACAAGGTGTTGTTATGGGCATGGCGCTACGGGTGGACAATTTGAAATGCAACCCGTTCGAGCGTCTAGTAGTGGTTACATCGTTGTCAGACTACATGGGGTCGACTTAGCTTAGCTGGATCATGAAGTATTACCTTTCTCTCAGAAACTGGTAAAAGTAGCAGTTAAAAGTAGAATGCGTGGGGCAACCGAGAAATGGCACACATTAACTCCGAAGAATTCTACCAGTTTTCGGACCGCTCGCTCATTACTTGGTGAAAGCAGTTCTCAGGATTAGCTATGTTCACCATAGAACGGATATGAACACAGAAAGAATGACAGTGAATCGGTCGGTCAGGTCTTATTCGAGCCCAGGAAGACGTAGGGTTCGCCCATCCTTTCCACTTTGTGGCAATGTTGTAATGTCTCCCCAACGATGAGCAGCTAACCGAATTCCAAACAAATCCTGGAGTTACCCCTGATTACTTACGTCGTCAGTATGTAGTAGGTCTGTAATTTTTCCCCTTGACTGAGTATGTTAGTAACAAATTCATAGTGATAACTCCCATTGGTCCCCCGTCAATTATCATAGTTCAATTCTTAGACGGGATACCTTTTTTGCCCCCTTCTGCAAGTGGAAGTGTCAAAGTAAGGCGCATGACCATGACCTAATGAAAGTACTTTTTATCCTTTAGGCCTTTAGGCATGACCTCAGGCAAACTAGTCCTCAGTTCTATCAAAATTATCTCGAAAACTCAAAATAGAACTGGTCAAAAAATAGAAAGAATGAAAGGCTACTGCAAGGTTCTTCTCATTGAAAGACACTTCACGCTCAGAAAAGAGAACAAATGAAACTGCCCAGTAATACTGGTAATTGGAATGAGTTCAATACAGGGTGGCTACAAAGAATGGTCCGGTGATTAATCAATTATAAAATTACTAAATAAACACGATTCATATTATTATTTTACAGATTACTATTGATTATTCATACAGCATATTATTATATTAAGAAAGTAGCAATAGTTTTGTATAAACTCTTGACTGGTAACGACTTACCAAGCTATTCGGATTAGCATTTGATAGTAAGTAGTTGATAAATACAGCGAGGTGAGCAGGATGTGTTTTTAACTCAGCCAAGTTTGAAAATGGACCATGGCTGTCGATCTGAAACCAGGTATACAGGTTACTTTTAAAGTTTTAACTCTAATAGTGTAAAGAATTATGTTAGCTAACCGGGTTAACAACATCCGTTTGAACCATTACAACTTTGTTCTACCTTAACCAGTAACTAGTAGGAGCCAATTACATAGTTGAGCATGTAGTACTAGCTCAGATATTTCCAAAACCGATGTGGTCGGTTCAGTTTGTTGAAGTATCGATGATGCTCCGTCAAGAAAAATCGAATGGTGGGCGCAAGAAGTGCAGTTAACAAGGGGGGTTCGCAGAGTTTCGACCAGCAGCAAACCAAATCACAGCTCAATAGGCTTCATCGGGATGCGCTCCCCCTATGCCCCCCAACATCTCGTCTCACAGAGGGAGAGAGAGACAGATAAAACTCAGACGTCTGAACAAATTTTGTCCCCCTACCTACCTCAACGTATCGTGAAGGCAGACTCTCCGTCTCATCTTCGTCTGAATCACCATCCATTGGAGTACGAGACTGGAACTATTGAGAATACACTATGAAACAACAAGTATTAATTATTATCCACTTAAAAGTGGTAAAATTTACTCGGAACAAAAAAAAACCCAAAAAGAAGGTCCCACTGTACCTGACTCCACGGGGGTTCGGCGGGTTTCACGTGTCGCAGTTGCGATTGCAACGACACGATCCGCTTCAGAGCACGATCGAGTTTCTCACTGTTCTCCGAGTCACGAAGTCCCTGAAAAGAGGGATTTGCTATTCTACAATATGTGACTACGCAGTAACACCCTCCTAACTTGTTATTAACGGAAAGAATGGTGGCCCAATAAACTCTATGATTTACGGTTTCTATTGAGTAGATTCGGTCCATAAGTCTAATCGGTACAGCTCGAAGTAGTAATTGGTAGGGAATCAAAGAAGAGTTCCTAATAACGACAAGGAACCGGTGAAGTCCTTCAAGAGCTTCTTGATCAGGAGCACCGAATGGACCTAAGCTACTAGCTGAACTCGGGGATCTTTTCAAGCCGCTGAGAGCTGCACATCTTCGAATTATCAGGGCCCAAACTTTGGTGAGGCTGCAAAGATGCCAAGTTGGGTCGCTTCAAAAGATTTGACTTCTCAGGTTGAGGAAACGATAAGGGGAACTACCGAAACGTCAGTTCTCATAGGCATCTACCAGCTTAGTGAAGCCCCACCCAAGTTAGAACCCACTGATACCGTGCTGAAGCTTCGCAGGCCACTCTTCGTGTAGTGGATGACCTTGGTGGGCCTGAGGTACATTACTGATAAAAGGCTCAATGGGAGGTCGGCGACGTTATTCGGTAGTTTTTTCAGGCATACGTGATTACTAGTACAGTACTGTGAAATTTGGTTACACATACATACAGGAATGAAATCTTGCTTTCAGTGAATTTTTAACTCTGCCACTTCATAAGGGAGTAGGCTGCATCCATATCACCATTACAGATGGAACAACTTGAAAAATCAACTAGTCCTGCCAGTAGAACAGCATAAGAGAACTGGTATAGTTACCAATAAACAAGCCTAATATCGCATAACCTGAAGGATGAAATTGACCTTGTCTATTAAACATTTACTTATATGGATACATAAATAATGGAAATCAAAAAAGCAGGTTTTAGTTTTACGGTTGTGCCCGAGGATGGCTTGTGGTCTTCTGCTAACACGGACTTTTGTTTGCCCAAAAAATGGCCAACTCACGAGAATTCCGGTTTCCAGCCTTGCATAGCAGCTTTTTAGGGGTTCATTGGGGATATAGTAAGAAGAACAACCCACTCGCAGTGTTCCTCGTACTGTGTATCATTGGAGAAGTGGTTGAGAAGCGCTTGGTTCGTGGCGGAAGTGGTTGACCCGAGCCAGCTAATTAGAACCAATTCACAAATCGTGAATGAGAACCCATTAAGCCTTGTAGCCCGAACATAAGTCCTCTCGTTCCACCACCTATCGATAGTCCTGGCCCGATCAAATTATAAGACATTGGATGTGCAAAAATGTGCATTAAGTAGTAGTAATGTAATGAGATAGAAGTTGGGAACCAGTTCGAGGATAAAGACAACAAGGGGTGTGGCCAGTTGGAGGCTTGGACGAGTTAACGAGACAAGTCCATGAACGCGCGCAAGAAAAGCCAAAATTAGGCGATTATAGACGAGCAGCGAGGGAGAGCCGGCTAGCTGTGTGATACACGAAGAAGCTGTGGTTGATGGGGAAAAGTCGAAGCTCGAAGAACAGAGGGGGCTACAAGGTCTCTCTATTGCGCTCTCTTCAACTAGTTGAATGTTGCTGAGTCGAAGCGGAAAAGTGGACGACGGACGGATGGGGCACATTGATCCTGAGCCCCCTCTTTAGTGAAAATCGAAAACGACATCGAAACTTGACATATCTGGTAGACCTCTCACATCTATCCGCCCTCCCTCCCCCATCAGTCCACCATGAAAGTGTGAATGATTGCTGGGGCATCATAGGTGGCTGCTATGAAACGAAGTTTGAAAGAATGAGCTGCTAAATTACATTCGTGCCAAAGGGATGATTCCTTTACTGGTTAGGGAAAAAAACCTCAGTCTCAGAGAACACACACACTTCGTCAGCAGCTAGCATTTGAGAGAAGAAGACAAAATCTATTTCATTCAGACTCCTTTCATTTTCAATCCGAATGGGTCGTAAAGAACAATAGAACATCCCTAATGCTCTAGCAGGCATCAAAGCACTAAATTGGCCGTTTACAGTAGTACAACTCTCAAAGGCTTTGTAGTAATACGTTCCAGCTCGGATAGCTTTCTTTTCGTTTGTTGAGCAAAAAATATGAGCCTGCGAAGGAACTGATTCATTGCGGAGCTTCCTATAAATCCATGTGGGGGGGTGGGGGGTCATTGAAGGGGTCAAGATCATTGAAACTTCAACTGCACATAAGAGATTTCGAGAATTACCGCATTACGACCAACAATTAATGAAATGAATCAATATCAGCCAATAAATTTTGTAAAAAACCTTTGTATAGTTCAATGCTGTACCCAATAAGCCAATGCGTCATTGACAAAATGTGTGAAGCCAGTTTTTTTCCAGCAGAGAGGGGTGGGAGGGGCAAAAATCTGATAAATAAAGGGCATGAAAATAATTTCTGGCTTTGTCTTGCATGAGACGAGATTGGAACTGAGGCTTCAAGTGATTTCTTTCACCCCCCATGCATGTTACTCTACTATAGTTGGCTCAGCTTCGCGGATCAAGGGTTATGCACCGGGAATCCCCGGTCTAAAGTTCGCTTGGGCTATGCAAGAAACAGGTGAAACTTGGGACAATTAGCAGAGCTCCGTGACCCGCGACATGACATGAAAATTGGGTTGCTAAAAATAGGACTGGGTGTAATTACTGAAAGCTACTAAACTTTGTACAAGTAGTAGTAATTTTTCAGAGAGAGACAACAAGATTGTTGAGTTTGCGATATATCGTTAAAGTAAGTTATTGTACCAATGGCGGCCACAATCCAGAACAAGTCTCGTTATACCAGATAGGTATGAACTTGTCCATTTTTAAGATCAATGATCCAGTAAGTAAGAGGTAATCCAACGTACTAGTATGCAGTATTGATGACATTAAGCTCGAAGAGTTACGCAGTAATGTTTCTATAATGCTACGATTTTCCAGTGAAAAGGCGGGCGCTATGCTGTGATGGAGTAGAAAAGATAGCACAAGGTAAGTAGCGAAAGCATTTGATTTACAGACAAGTAGCAAAGGAGGTATACTTCAGAGAAAACGAAAGTTTACAAAGTGACAATAGAAAGACAATTTGATGATTGCAGAAAGCAGCACAAGTAGTTTACATTAAACTTGTCCTTGCATAAAAGACCAAGAGACATTGCCTCAATGAGTGTTCCGAAGAGCCTGGTCGATTGTTGCTGTCTTCTCAAAAAGCCCCACAGCGAAAGAGAAGAGGAGAGGTGTGAGCTAATTTCGACGAAATGGGGCCATTCCAATAGACAAGATGAATTGATAGACATAGCAAATTGTTACTATTACTATTTATGTATGTAAGTAAGTTCGAGTAAAATCTTTTCGGGGATGTAAACATTAGTAAAAATGAACAGGTTCATAAGATTTGGGTTTTATCAATAGTTATGAGGAGTTAGACGTCTTGAGAGTTGGTCAAGTACTTATCTGGATACCACTTAGCTAATCGTCCAACTGAATAGGCAGGCGTCCACGTCCACGTAGAAAGCAGTGACCGAGCACTACTGGTAACAGCGGGCGGAAGTTATACAAAGCTATTCTGGGCACAAGGCTATCCACCTGGTTGGCCACACCGCCGCTGACACTCATAACTGCATATTAATAACTAGTTTCCCTGAGAAAGCCTTCTAAATAGTGGGAGTGGATAGTGGGAGATTTCAGGAGGGTTTCAGCTACTTCAGGATTATCCTAGATCTTTCGAATTTCTGCAAAATCATTTTTATTGCGTTGAAAATTAGATTTGACCTGACCTCAACGTGCTTCCGTTCCTCATCCAACATTTGACTGAGCAGCTCTTTTCGTTTTCGTTTCCAGTCTTCCTTACCAGTGTTTTGCTGGAATTCGTAACATTTTAAAATGTATTCAGATATACTTATTTTTTAAAAAACAAAAAAAAATTCAGACCTCTATAAGCACAGGCTCGTGGATGGAACTGGTGTCCAGTTTTGAGTCAGGTATCAGGTACAAACCGAGTGGCTCAGGTGGTGCACCCAAAAGTGTGAGTACGACGTTCTGACCGCCTAAAGTTCCAATTTTCTTTTGGAACTAGAGAAAAAAGAAAAACGCCAAAATGAACCATATAGCTCATTGCAATGAGTTTGACTGACTTGTTCACTTTGATTATTTTTTACTCAGTAATTTTTTGGTAAAATAATTATTAAACCTCACAAGGTTGGCGATTTGTGGACAAAACTTCAGCCTCGGACGGGACTTGAACCCGTACTTGTCCTTTCCTGTTAATTATTAAACCGCGTTTACTATCGATATACATAGTTTAGCGCTTTCACAACTAATCCTTTACATTTATAAGGTTGAAAAGTTTGCTGAGTAGATGTAAGTAAAGGGTTCACACAGCTTAAAGTACTCGTGCTAGTAACAATTTTTTCTTTGGTAGCTTCGAAACCAACGAATTCTTTAGTATCATTTTCCTTTGTTCGCCGAGTTCAAAATTTGATGGAAAGTGTGCTACGACAGGAACATCGCAGCCACGATATCGATCGATATCGATCAGTACAGCGCTTAGAAACGTCGACAGAAAAGGGAATGAAGGTAAAGGGAATCTCTGAAGCCATCGAACAGTCGATAATTAGTAAGGTCGACTTGTATTGAATGGTATTCCTAGCTTGGCCCTTTTAAACGGAATAACATGTCCCAGTTGACAAGTGAAATAGTGGGAGAACGACGCAACTGTATCGATCGGTATCGATTGAACGATATTAATCCAATCCACCATGATCTTTGTCACAAAAAAAAGAACGAGTAAACCTGATAGCAGAGCCATTTTACTGCTCTGATCGTATTTATCGAAGCAATAAAACGCATAAGAGATTTGCAATATGTTGAAGATGTCAACCTAGTTGGAATGACTTCTTTCAAACTACGTCAGTTACTTGAAAGTTACCTACTCATAAGTAGGTAAAGGAATTGTCAGTCACAATTAGCATCTCCAATCACATATTAAGACATAGAGGCCCTAGGTAAAACCTGAGGAACCGAGCAATAGAAACATCAAAATGTCATAACTCAGAAAAAAACCCGAATTAATTGAAGTTCTAAAAAAATCTTTGTAATCATGGAATTAGTTTAATACATACACAATGATAATCTAATATAATATACAATGATATATAATCATAATCATAGTAATATTAATAATTATATAATGCCCGAAAAATATTTAGTGTTTTGAAAGTAATTTATGAGGTCGAACAATAAGGAAAAACCCAAAGCATGAAGGCTTTCATGCAATCTTTTCAGAGTATGGTGATGAAGTTCGTCTCTTAGTAACAAATTGGTATGTTCTTGGTAACAAAGAATCGTCTTGTTTTTGGGTACGCCATGCATTTGTGCTTTTTCGAAAGAGTGAGAAAAGTCCCCGGCCTTCACCAATAAATTGGAAGTATTCTACTTCCGGAGCCTTATTAGAAACCTCGAACTTAGGGGGGTCGTGGTGAGAGCATCAGATAAGCCAGGGAAAGCCTATAGCCCCTGACGCAGAATGGTGACGACTTCAGTGAACTCAAAAATCTTTAAAAAATTTATATTTATCATAACTACCATATAATTTTTTAATAGAGGGGCAATACTCTGGCCTGAAAGGTCTGATATATGTTTTCTCATTTACATATGTTACTAGTAACAGCAACCATAGAAGTAATGGATTTGCTGATAGTACTAGTCGTTGTAAACTCTACAAGAACTAAAAGGAATGAAAAACGTTGTCGAATAGCCGACTTGTCGCAAAATACGTTGCATTGGTAATATGCTTATGTGCACGTTTGCGAATCTGACTTGAAATCATGTGCACGGCTTACACCGAAGTTTTGCAGGTGTAATCTCTTAACTTGTTGTGTTTGGATTTTTCTTCAAGAGCTACTTACTTCCGGACGTCTGTAAATGAAGGCAAAATCAAGCCCTTTGCATTGCAAGGGGTAAGGGAGCATGGATATCTTCGGGAGCATTTGCCATACTCTCCCCCGGGACACCAAGAGGTCACACATCTCGGCAGACGCCGCCGCCGCCTCTGAGTCCCGTAATATCGCTCTAGACGAGCTCGAATTTCTCCCCAATGTGGCCACCCTATCAATCTAATGCGTAAAGCGGAGCGGGTTTACTATTGCACAAGATTAATATGAAGCTCCTGTGTCTTCATTATCTGAGAATATGCCAGATCAGAAGATTAGATTTGATGTATAGGTTGTGATCTTTCTTAAACTGATGGCAATCTATTTAGAAATCTCTTATGAAAATATAAAAACGTAAGTTGATGAAGACATTTCATCCCTCCACTTCCAGTGATTTCGATCAAGATCATTCGATCGATACGGATCGATATGCTTGTACTGTAGCCTCCATCCAACCTCATCTATCTCCAATAACGTTACATGGAAATAAGAAAAGAAAGCTGATGAACACATGCTTTGGTCCTGCAACGATGCACCCACCACACACGAGCGAAAGCAACCCCTACGTGCCACTTAAACAAGTCAATTACTCACAATGAGCCTTTTTTTTCGTGCTAAATAAGTTAAGAAGCTGCCATGCGTATTGACCGGGTCTGTAATGATTTCAGGCTTGAAAGGCGTCACTCCCCTTCTTGTATATCCTTTTCCTTGTATGTATGGGATCCTTTTCCAAAAAAAAAAAAAACTCAATAATGCCACTAACTTGAAGCTTGCCTTTTTCACGGACGTCAATACCATTAATCTGTCTCCAAAGGTAAAAAACAAATGCATGGCGTAATCTTAAGATTCTGGCCCACCGCAAACGTTCTACTTGTTTGGTCGTTATCTGATCTGTTTAAGAGAGGAACTAGAGTGGTGCCGGAGTGACTGAATTTTTCTAATGCGTTATTATGAGTAACTGACTAGTTAGTAATGAAGGTAAGTGGCAAGATTATTTGAATGAAGGGTTGTTGAAAATACTTCGAAAAGGAGCGCCTCGGCGCAGAACAGCAACTAAACAGTTAACTTTTTGAAGTTATTTACCGGGTCAGTTACAAAATTATATGGCCATTATAGTAGAAACAACTAGTAGTGAGGTGAATAACTTTATAAAAAAATGATTCGTCGTACTTTTTGATTGAGCAGCAGTTAAATCAGAGTTCGTAGAAAGGGCTCAAAAGGTGGCACCACGTCTTGTTGTAAAAGACAAAATTTGTAACTGGTTTGCTGCTGTTGAAAGTATGTTACAGGAGATAGCCACGATTGTTAGCGGGCTGTTCTTCAGCCATTCGACGTAGAACTAGTAAAAACAGGGATAACCTGAGAGGTACTAGGCTATCGATCAAACGTACCTCCATCGATCGATCGTCTGCCAGAATTCCACTGGAATCAATATGAATTACAAAAGGTACTTTTGGGTATTGGTGCAGCTCTGTGGTAATGGATTCTGCTCAGAAGTCTGATGGGGATCTGTGATGCTCAATGAAACGAACGTTCATGATGTTTTCTACACAACTGTCGCAGAAACTGTCGAGTTCATCAAACCCACGAAACGTGAGTTATGCCTCACAAGGTTGACAATTTATGGACAAAATTTCAGTCTCGGACGGAACTCGAACCCGTACTTGTGCTTTCCGGGCACCGTGCTCTATCCCTGACACTACCAGGACCCCGCTTGCCCCCGTTTTCTTAATGGCTTATATGGGAGGATGGGCAGTAGGAACGGTTTGCTCAATCGATCCGCTGCACGCGGCTGTCGCGTACCATTCGCCTAGTTATAGCAGCTATAGCGTTTTTCATACAGCTCAATCGCTATGCGCTTATTACTCTTGGAATGATTCTATTATTAGTTCAATTGTTCCTGTATTTCTTACTTGCTGCTGCATTATGCTACATTCCTTCGCGCGCGACGTGTTCTAGCCGCGACGCGACAATTTCGCCCCTACAGCACCACACCCGCTTATATGCCATAGCTTACCAGCACTCACACGTACAGCCAATATCAGCACTGTACCGTTAAGCTGTAAGCTTTTCATGATAAAACTAGTTTCGACTTTATTTTTTGTTAACTGCTGTACTGGAAGAGCCATGATGTCATACGGTAACGCTATTAGCGCCAATTTCTTGGGTTCTCATTGGAAAAGAACGATTTTGCCGAATTTCCAACATCATCGCAAGATGAAACTGATGACAGACCCATTCAAATCGAAGATGCACTTTTGGAGAAGTCTCCCTCGACCATTTTTTTCGTCGATGTGGGGCAAAAGCAGACAAAAAAAACCTGTTGGTTATTTAACAGCTGCACGGATTTCAGCAGGGAATACCCGAGGGCTATACCAGTTACCACCGTATACCCTAAGAAGTAACCTAGGACATCGGTCACAACAAGTGCAACAGATAATAAATTCAATAGCTAACATTAAGGAAATTGCATCGGTTTCACTTGGGCTCTTCATCTGATGCTGTCCATAACCAATGTCCCGCTGTCTTGATATACCGGCTTTTTTATGTTAGCCGTTTCACATTCTTGATAAAGAATATTTCTCCAACACTTCAATAAAGGTAAAGTCTTTCGGCAGTTACCAGTTTCAGATGGGATGCGCCTCTCATTTACCTTCGATTCAGAATCGCAGCAGCGTTTTGAAGTGTACAATGAATCGCGGCGGCCAGCCAATCAACGTGCGGGTGCTTCTGTCCTCCCAGACAAATTTAGTGGAAAGTAAGCGACCCCTTAATGGTGGGAGAAGGTTCGTTCGAGTTAGTGTCGATCAGGGACTCGATCTCTGGACCATGTCTGTATGATTGTGAGACACTTGCTTCGCCCTCGTCTCAACTTTTTAATGTACCCATTTTATGGGAGTGAATAAGCGTGACTATGCCGGTAGTCATTAGAAGCCCCGGGAGATGTTTAAGAAGAAATGACACCGTATCTCGTGGCCAAACGGCCAAGAGAGTTGTTTGGAAGAGGATGGTTTGCAGCGCATTCCTGGAAAAACAAATTGAGCTCGAGAAAGCCGGAGCTGGCTAATAAACATGAACAATGTTGGGAAAAGCGGTCGTCATCGACGACCGCAAAACCACCGCCGCAACAAAGTCACATTCCTCTCGTGTGCTCAGAATATTCTAGCCTTTGAGCTTACTAAAAACGAACTCAAATTGTGTCGTTCGAAATAGGAGTTCCATTGTTTGGTGAACACATAAAGAGAGAGGAAAGTGGTTGGTGCAGAAAAATCTACCCTTCCTCTTGAAAGATTCGCAAATAAAGGAAAAACAAATGGTGACAGAAAAAAGACGTACTCGAAAGACGTTATGAATGTCAATTGTGAAGCACCCTTTTGCCTTGGAAGCTAACTATAGGTGGTGACTTCAATGAGACAAAAAGAGGCTGTCTCCCGTCAAGAAGAGCTTTCCTACTTTCTGCGAAAGTATGGAGGAATTCTATGTTTGTGCATCATCTTAAAATTTTTCCAATTACTTAATTCAACTCGTTTAAGTTCGAAATTGCTACTGCTATCCTTTCTAACTTGTAGTTGAAAAAGTAACTGAGGAGCTTTTTTACACTTCAGAAGAACTTCGACTAGAACATAACCAGTTAAGAAGGTTTCATTCTGTAAATTTATCAATAATTATCTCGGTTATCTGAGCTGGATATAAACCAGTAGATAAAAAAAAGAGCACACCACTAAAAATCACCTGAAATCATGCGCACAACATCCAAGTGATTGCTGCTCGTCACTGGCATGCCGTTCACCTGAAAAGGGTTATTTATTATTCAACCAATTTTTTTCGGCTATATTATTATGCATTGTAATTTATTATACAATATTATATTACATTGTTTCATATTATAATATAATATATTAAATTAAATTATATTATATTGTATTATGTTATATTATATTATATTACATTATATTATATTATATTATATTATATTATTATATTATATTATATTATATTATATTATAGCACTTTTGACCACTTTCTGAGGCGAAAAATAAATAGCTCATTGACTTCGCTACCCCATATAAGGTCAGTGGTTTGCCTATACCGATCCAGCCTTCTTACTCTCCGGATCAATTGCTTGTTAAAACGCATATCGTGGGAATAAGACTGCTGTCTAGTGCTTTGAATGGATGGGGAGGTCAATGAATAGAGCATGGCGCTCTTTCAAACGCTTCCACGAATTTGAGTGAAAGTCGAATGCGGGGCGCAAAGTGAATCGGAATTGAATGGAATCACAAGAATTCATTTTTTGCTTACATCCCTGTTTCTCGCAAACTCTAAATAAATATAATAGGTTAGCTTAGGAAAAACAGCGTATAATTGGATAAAGTGCAAGTCCGTCACTCAAGCTGATCCCCAAACACATCAACGTCCTGCTTGAGTGACAAATACTGATTGGCAGTACATACTTAAAATTGGAATACTGAAATCAGACCACAGCGAATACAATGTTGACTATGATGAGGCAAAGCAGCGCTGAATATTGATGAATCATCTTCATTTCCATTGGCTTTAAAAATGGTCTCAATGATCGGAAAGAATTTGGAAGAAAACTTTTTAAATTTAAAAAACATCGAGTTATTGCAACCTATCCTTGTAAAATGTGTTGATTTATATTCAAATTTATCTTTATTCATGGACGTTCCCTTTATAAGTGCTGTTTGCGAAAGAAATTGCTGGACCCACCTGTCGCTGATGGGGCCAGGTCGTGACGCAATCTTGGCTACCCGAACCGTCACCTCCACCCCCTTCCCGTGGAAGATTCGCCTGCCTTCCTCTACTTGCAAAATTACTCGATATCAGGGGAAAATTAAAACGAAGCTGGTTAACTGGACTCTGTTCCATTTCTCCTCACAAGAGTTAACAAGTACGCTCAGAAACCAGTTACTTACCGGTAAGTCGTATTTTTCGTGATAGTTACACAACCTGGATGAAGTTGAATGAGTGATTTGAATGACTTAAGTACTCCTCAAGTGGTTCCAAGTGGAATTGAAGGTGAAAACCAAAGGCGGAGTGTCCTGAGTTTTACCTCATCACTATGGAAGTTACAGTTTCGAACCAGTAAACCGGACGTTCGATCAGTGAGGATTTCCCCTCGTTCTCAGCCACCATATGTCATTCGACGCCTCGAGTTTTCTCGGTCGAAGCATTCGCGCTGGTCGTTCAGCAGCGTGGCAGCGGAAGCGCGGCCGGAATAAAGATTTGCACATAAACAACTATTAAACAATTACTTATTCCACACAATGCCAGCTAAGGCAGTCATCGCGAGAACTTCAACCATTTCCGCTGCTCGCCCCCTCCCCCCTCGCATCTACATGACACAATTGATAACGAACTAACTGCAGCCGGCCGGCCGGAAAGCGCTAGAAAAACCCTGTTTGGAGCGCCTTTTACTGACCACTGAAAGCATTGTGGTGAAGGTAATTGCTGATAATACTACTAGTACGTATATGCAGTTGTTTTGACAGAAAGAGAACAATCTAGAAAGACCGAATGTTTTCCCTCTCCTATCCGAACCTGAACGGCATTGAAAAGCATATGATGGACACAAGACCTACCGAGAACCCGTCGTACATCCCCGCTTTTGAATATTACAAAACCTTCAGAAGTGCAGAACAGACTTATTCCTCCTACAACACACCTACCTAAGAGGGACTTCACTTCTCCTTGCTTAGGAATGTGAGTATTCTAACGAAATTGAGCAATCCCTCGATTCTTTTGATGATTCAAGGTACTTCAAGGTACTTGGTTCCACACTCGCTTAGAAGGATCGAAGCCTTTCTTTTATATCAGCTGCTTTCAGAAAAAAGTAAGTGCCTCAAGCACGTCCAAACGTCACGAAAACTCCGAAACAAGGTCAAGTGGGGGGCAGTGCATCATGTACAAGGCGAATCTGGACCATTGTTTTAGCCGCTTCATGAAAAACATATGCCCCCCAAACGCCTCTCAACTTGAATGACCAAGAAGCTTTGGAGGTAGACATCACATCACAAGCTAACTCGTTTTCCGGCAACTCGGCATTTGTAAAAGTAACAAAAACCTTCCGGAAAAGTAGGAACCTACTCGCTACCATCTATAGAAGCCAGAATTTCATGATGAAGCCGGACGGAGCATCACCATGTTCCATACAACCACAATCCCTCTGACTACAAAGAAATCGGAGCCCCATTTCATGGCAGTTTCATCTTCAACACCCCACTTTTCACATTTCTCTTTTTACAGGACACATGTTTGGGCTGAGGTCATAAAAATAGAAGGAAATCACAACGGAAGTTCGTTCACTTCTATTTTGTGCCAGAGAATAAGATGGCGAGCGGGAATCATTTGACGGAAATATCATGGATGACGCTCAACTACTTCATGCATGCTGGCAGTATGCTGAGAACGCCTTTTTGCCACTATATTATTGTAAAATTGACAGCATACATGTTTTGAAGTACATTTGGTTAGAGGACTCAATAACTGGTAATAAGTGAACAAGTTCTCACCTTCAAGATCCGATCCCCTTCTCGCACACCTGCACAGAATGCGGCTCCATCGGGTTTTACTGTATGCACGAAAACCGGATGATCACCAGTAACCGTGAAGCCGTAACCATCGCTCTGACGCTGTACGACCACACATCGTTCGATCATACCTTCGCTTGTCGGCTCGCTCACTGAAAAATCAATAGTCATACTTTGAGCGTGTTGATTTTACAAAACCTCTCCCCCTGACGTCCTATCAAAGCCTCCTCCTCTAATTGCCGCATTAAAATAATTCATTCGAAGATGTAGAGGGGACTGCTTCACCACTCCACCAAAGCAGTCTAATAGAGTAACAATAGAGTATACTACTCAATGCATTCATTATAAATTACTATTACAAGTTCCTCTGACTGGGATAACAACTGAGCTAATGGCCTGAGTAATGAGGCAATAATAGGCCAATCATAGCTTCAATGAACGATTGAGTCTAACAGCAAATGGGCCACGATAGGGGGTCAACATAGGGGGTAGGCACAAACGAATATGTAAATTCGAATCGCCTTGAAACTGAGGTAAAATGAAGAGTACATGTTCTCGAATAAATGGTAATTAGGTAATTAGTTACTGATGAGTTACCAGTGAATTTTCAATTTGTCGAGGTTCTTTACTAAAAATGGTTGACTTAACAAGTATGACTGCCCTAGTATGCTGCGAAATGGTTTTTTACTTCTGGCCGTCATAGTTAAACGACTACATCACCATTAGAAGAAATTTTAAACATTGCCATGCATCTGGAAGCTTTTCACAATAACGGCATCGATTTTCCTTGGGAACAGAGGGGGAATTCTTCGGAACTCAACCCCGTCAACCCCACGAAGAAAATAAAGTCGAAAAGAAATTTGAAACGGGAAAATCATTTAATGGACAGTCAAGAAGAAGCATAATGTGAGGTGTCCGATGAACAGAATGAGACAACAAGGGTGGTTCTTTTAGATGTTTAATTTTAGCTGATTCATTTCTGCCCCCCACCCTGTTGTAATCATGCTAAATCATGCCCCCCGACGAAGAAACCTATTGCTCTATCGCTTTTCTGGATATATTCTCATGGGAACGCTCGATTCCCCCCGTCCGACCAGGAATCAGAGAGCGTCAAACGTCAATCCTCGAGGTTTCGCGATGAACAGCATCCACCAAAAATGAGTTCACTACCGTCCTCCTTTGGCCCCAGGCCTTAGGTTACCCCTATAATCCTTCTTCACTGCTTTCCTTAGCCCCGGGCCTTGATCACGCCCTTAAGCCCTCACCTTGTTTAGAGGGATGCTGACTACCATAACAAGTAAGAAGTGAATAAAGGTAGGGAAATCAACGGATTACAAGTAAGCAAAAAATAACTTCGGCAACCAAGTACCAGAATAAGTGTTGTAGGAGTGCAGAAGTTGCATAGACCACTTAGAAAGAGTGGGAAGTAAAAAATGTATTAGATACTAGTAATATTTGTTAGTTGCACTGACCTCAATGATAGAAACTGAAGTAATTTGTGAATCTACAGTTTGAACTATATGATGTTGTACTTTTCAGTTTGATACTGTAACATTACAAATTGGTGATTTGCATTGTTCAAATTCCAGGAATTGTTTGTTATGTTTGAGGACGTATTACATAATTAAAGAGCGCACAGCACATTCCAATTCTCTGACCCCCTCCTCCTTTACTTTGCTATTGGAAAATTCGTCAAGGAAGTCCACTAACGAGCAGTCAATTTCATTGGTAACTAGTTTTGGTGTCCCATTGTAGTTCAACATGAAATTGCAAGTTTCAGCCGTCATCAAAGATTTGAAATAACGAAAGAAATAGCTGTAAAGCTGTCTAACAACCATTTTTCAGACTAAAGAAAAATCATGTTTATTCGAATCATTAATCAGATATGGTAGCGGCTAACCACGAGGGACCATCAAAGAATCCCTAACGGGAGCCTCTTGTGCTCACAAACAGCTTGTACTCTTTGAAGGCTCAATCTGAAGCTTTTTTCAGAATGCCAGCGGTATTTTCTTTGAGGTCTGGAGATCAATAATCGATTGGTTGGTGAAAATTTGACCGTCTATGTCTTGGATAATCTTGGGAATGAATGTTATGTTAGAAGTTGAATGATATAATGAAAGGAAAATAAAATTATCTATAACTTCATGGACCCATAATTGTCCTTTCCCGTCCAGTCGGACCAGTGAATGACCGCTCTTTCTTTCTGTTGCCTCTTGGCCGGCCCTCACTTTACGGCGCGATCAAAAAAAAACCCAAGCAAACTTTATATGAAAATTAATGAAAACTAATGAAAATTTAGAATTTCAAAGATACAACGGTTGAGAACAAAATCATCTACAACTTCATGAACCCATAAATGTCCTTTTCCGTCCAGTTGGGCCAGTGAATGACCTCAGTTGCTTTCTGTTGCCCCTTGCCCTGTCCTCCCTTTGCGGCGTCGAAACCAAAACCGATTTTGGAATTGGCCGACGACGACGACGACGAGCAAATCGTGGACGAAACAAGGCGCAAGAAAAAAAACAAATAGTGCAACGCGTTGAGAACTCACAAAATCCCCGTCGCGCCGCGAGATGGCCCACGCCGGCCGACAAATTTTTTCGCGGCTCATCGCCATTGTCGTTCAAGTTGAACAAATTTGCGAAAAACTGTCAAGTTCTTCTCGGCCAGTTTGAGTTTGTCAAAATCGAGAATGTGCTCATTTAGAAATCTCTACCAGTAACAGCTCAATGAGTGTGATCTTTAGTCATTAACTTGCAAACATGGGTCAAAGCGTAGAGGAGAACAATTAGGCTTTTCTACGACCAGATCCGTCAGGGAAGACTAAAAATTTAACTTCAGTAGCTATAGCTGAATGTAAAAACCAAATACGCAATCAAACACCATGACGATCCCGAATGGAAGTCAAATGCTTGGGTGACACCAAAACAAGCTATACCGACGTTTGCCCCTTTTCTCTGTAGGAACAAAGCTGCATTGAAAGGAACATCTTTTGTTGTTAAAATTGGTTATATTTATCCAAACAACGGCAACAAAAATAAACATAGCTCTTTCAACAGCTAGCGATTCTGGAAAGTTGAAGGAACAGACTTCAGTGTTCTCATTTCAACTGTGGACACAACCCCATCTGGTTTCTCTCCTTTGATCCCAGAATTTACCAGTCAAGAGCTTATACCACCGGTTCATCCTTCCTTATCGGCTTACGATATTCGATGAAATTGTCATCAGAAGGGAAGGAATCTGGTCTCGACTCTCAATTTCCATTTACATGATACAGAATTATGAATTCCTGATCCATTTCGAACTGCCTTCGTAATTTTCGACCATCATCTCCTTCTCACCAAAGCATATAATAGAATACCCAAGACAGCCGGTTGGATAGCATTTTATCTTTGGACTGATTGTGAGATGAAAAATTATCAAAAAAGTGTAAAATGGATCACTTTTAGCTTTTTTTATGGGTATCCAAATCGACATTTATAGAAATGGGCCTTTGGCATAGCCTATCCCTGCCGCCAGCCGGTTCAGCTGATTCTTCCATCCCCGACCGATGCGGCCGACCGACGTCGCGGGGGGAAAAACTTTCTCCCCATCTCATGGCGCCTTTTGACGTCACAGAGACAGCCATTCGGCTTGAAACTGATATAGAAGGATGGCCTGATTTGAACTTGGTTCGTTGTCTTGATATTGGAACGCACAGTGGCCGAGGTTTTCTGGAAATCAATTCGGCACACAGACCCACATCGTCTGAAGACAACCTAATCAGCGCTCATTATACGTGTTTGAGACAGGGGAAAAACATGAGGCAGAAAACTGGGTTCGGGTGAAATCAGTGATGGGGAGGAGAAAGCATGGGAGAAATTTACGAAACGATTCAAAGAAATAAAATTTGACATGTATAATTTGAAATGATGACCATTTGAATAGTGGAATCGACGACTCCGGCATGGTTTACGGCGATTCGTCGATTTGGTTGGCTACCGTGCAAGATCTAAGTCAAGGACACCGCAACAATAACATAGAAACGGTGGCTGCAGCGAGCAGCAGCAGCAGCAGAATCCTACTACAAGTTATTACCACTTCCACAGCTAATTACCCATAGTTTTTTGCCTATTTCTGATCAAATGGTAGTTGAAAACTCACTTGAGAATCAAATGGGAGCGCAAGATGAGATGAGCACGAGACCACACTGTGGCGACACTGCCGCCGGCAGAATCACTTTGTCAGCCGGAAAAACATTGGAGCCTGTAACGCATACTGCCCCGCTAGCATCGCCCTCAAATCTACCCCAAGCAGCAGCAGCAGCAGCAGCAGCAGCAGCGAGCAAACTTGTATCATCCGAATCGAAGCATTGGAATAGTGGATGAGTCGTTTACATTACGAATTGCTATAGTTCAGAGCAAAAAAACGAGGAGAAAGAAGAGCTATATGGATAAGAGAATGGATACGAGAGGCAGAAAAGACAAAGCAGATAGATAGAGGGGCTAGACGCTTATAATAATGTCTCCAGAGATTCGCAAAACGTGAGTCAATTGACTCGCTAGACGACCTTCTTCATCGTGAAGAATCTGAAGGGGAAGCCTGTTCTTACGCTACACATACATACATTTATGAACACACACCTAGACAAACACAATCACCCCTGTAGGTGACCATTAGGGGCTGAAATTCCGCCTTTAATGGGACCACTATGGATGGTTGAATCAGAGAAGTTGTGTTCGTGGAGAACGGGGGTTCACATACGGCGGGATCGCTAACGAAAAAGTACCTACCGGAAAAAAATAGCCCAACATCTGCTCGGGAAACCACTGACCAATCTGTTTTACAGCTGCGACAACGATCACTTATACATGACACACGAACCCAGCGGCGGAAGTGTTCGCGAGAAAAAATCGCGCGCGGCGAGTTTCACGAGGTAAATCGTCGTCGCATCAAACGATGGACCACGGGGCGTATATTCGATTTATATTCACTTGGGACAACAGACAACATACAAACGTCTCCAAGCCATTGTTCCGTCAATGAAAATGTCAACTGCGATTTCCAAAAGAGGTCAATCTACTAATCCACTTATGGATTTCACCTTTTTTGATTCGTACAAGGTTACTAGTAGTAACAATTATGCATTGAATAGCAAAATAGGGAGAAATTCTACACAGTTCAAGGTTTTTTTTCGGTTACTCAACATTGGTAGAACCAGTAACATTATTTTCAGGACACCGCTGAGGCGAAGCCTCATTAGCTACCAAGCCAACAAAAACCTCGGTTGGAATTAGTAACAATCTGTAGGTATAATATAATTTGTCGGCTCGTCTACAATGTAAAGGAATTATATGTAGGCATATTGCACTACAGTATAGCTGGTATAGAGTTAAAAAATAAACTTTGATTATTGTTGAAGCCCATTTTGAGATGGGGTCACGACCCGACCTTTACCGTGAAACACCTGTTTTAGCCAGTTTTTAGACCAGACTTTGCGGTCTGACGAGTCTGGAACTGATTAACAGATACTGGAAGTTTGGGAAATTTGCTCAGCCTGGGTGGGCGTTGACCTCGTGCTTGATCTCCGAGCCCGACCGAACCCGAATCATACCTGTGACAGCAGCGCTTAGTGCCATTACTCTTGACACTACCGCAACTCCGCTCTGATAAGTATTTATATTTTGCGAAGAATTTCATACGAATATAAGGAATAAGGCGATCATGGTGAACAGGCAATAGCTCAAAGTGAAAAGCTGCCCCATCCCGAAAACGAGCCAAAATACTAGGGAACTACCTGTTATCAAGTACTATCAGGCTCATGAGTCAAAGCTATGCAGCATTACCGGAGAGTACTCAATGACGGCTTAATCCAGCTCCAGTACCTTCCACTTCAAGTAACTTTCAGTTTTACTCAAGTAAAAAAAGGAGCCGTGATTGAAAATATCGAAAGGATTCCAGAACTCTCAAATATCAGTTCTTTATCCCGGATACCTTGTTCTGAGAAAAACTAGAAGATTAACAGTGCCATTGAAAGGGACAAATCCGGAAAGTCTTTCATCACTTTGGCTCTCCCAAGGATATTTCGGATCCATGGTGCTCGGAACTTCATGGAACCCATTTTTCTTCTGGGCAATTGTAGTACTATAATAGTATGTTAGTTGACAGTTTTGCAGAAAGTAATGTTGTGTCTCGCTCTGACTTACTTTCGATAACAGGTAACACCATAAAAAGTATTGACATAAGTACATAGTGCTGACAATAACGGAATCTTCAAAGGCTTTTTTTTTCTTATAGCACTTGAGTGTAGCATGCCGCAACATAAATGCGTCCAGAATTTTGAAGTAGTCGAAACACCCACTCAAAATTCCCTGTGGAGAGTTTCTGTGATTCAACGGAAAGCTACCAAGAATCGTAGCTCTCCTATTCACCCATCAAATGCTTCGAGAAAATAGTATTGCGTGGCACAAAAGAGAAACTTCCGCAGCCCAAAGATTAAGCCAACAACATTCAACCTTTCGAGGGTCCCTCCCAAAATTGAACCGTCTCAGTAAAATTCACAATGAGGACGTCCTAATACGATCAGCGAACTACGAGAATAGCCTACCTTTGATCGGTGGCGACAGTGGTGGGCTTGACCGAACGAGTGCGACATCGTCCACGAGATATCCGCGATGCTCATCGAGCTTCACCGGTGTATTCGTCAGGAATTCGTAGGCTCTCATCATTTTATGTAACGCATACCGACGACGACGTGCGTCGTGATTACCGTCACACACACCGCACGATTACCAAGTTGTATACTGGCGGAAGTACGAGCTAACGTTTTGAGCACGTTGGCGATCAGTGAATGGTCGCTATAGACGAGGGGAAAGAATTTTGAGCGGAAATGCCTCGTTAGATTTGAAGTGCAGAGCAGAACCAACGTTGGTGACCTGCACGTTGAGCACCAGCGACACCAATCTGGCAATCCAGGAAGCGCTAGCGATAGGGCGGGCAAGTGCGATGTGCGGTGGTTGGGCGGCAGCGATCAGGACGCGGACGCGATGGCGATAGCGGGAGGGGCGAGAAGTGATGATGGTAGCTCTAGGGAGGGACTCCTCGGTTCTCGGATGTCAGAAGACCACCAGCATAAAACGTCCGACGACTCTTAGAAGGGCGGGCAGCATCGATTACGGGGCATATTCTTATGACGGCAATCCTTTCTATCCTCAACTTTTTAATGTGTCTTCCTCACGCTCTCACTTCACACTCTCCTCTCTTTCACTGAAATACACTATCACAAAATCCCATCTGTGAGCCTGGAAGAACGAGTAAACACCGAAATCGTCCATGTGTTCGTTCACAAATTTGGAGCGTTTTCAGAGGACGTGACAATGCTGCGCGACGACGACAAATTGCGCGACCCATTGGCGATAATGAGGCTGAAGCATGGTGTCAGTGAGACGAGACTTCAGCTACGAGACCGTCTCAGGCTAGAGAGGAGCCAGCCAGAGAAGGAGGAAGACCATGGGGACGGACGGGGCAGCGTTCGCCGCCATTTCAATCATCTGTCAAACATTACTAATCAGAGCTGTGACTACTAGTATATGCCATTGAATCGTTCGACCCGACCCGACTGACGGCTCTGCGCTGCTGCTGCTGCTACTGATGGTGATATGGATGTTGACGTGCGCCTTCGGCGTCTAATGAACTTCAGCTGTCCCAAAACAAAATCATAAGTTCAGTTGCCCGAGTTGTTTAACTGACATCATTATCGCCCTCAATGGCGACACCGACTGACGACGACTTCCGAACCACACTGAGAAAAACCAACCTCCGAAGGGAAATCTCACACCATACGCGAAACCCCGTTTATTAGCAATGAATCAAGATGATCTCGCAGTTCCTTCACAATACTTCTTGGTTCAGTAATTTATAGCTTCCTACTTATCCGCTGAGCAACCTTTCTTTTCAGACTCAATGCCCACTCCTTAATGACCCAGATGACCTCCCAGGTGATCCCTACAGGGAAGGCCCTTTCCCGTGAATTTCACCACAACAAACAGCATGTAAGCAAGCATTTTCGGCATAAATGATGACGATGATGATTCCCGGTGTGAAAGAATGCTTAGATAGCAGACCATTGCTAGACAATGACTAAACAGTGACGATCAACAACGAAACCTCATAGATGACACATTCAACCCCGATGACAATTTGAATGTGAAAAACGTACATTGAAAAACACACACACATTCGAGGGCTCAGCTTCTAATTCGTCCAGTTTTCCAATTTTTCAACTGCCATTCTCCCCTTCCGGAATCCTTTAGCCACCGATAAAAACGTCCTCAACCAAAGTTTTGCGGGAAACTCGCGTAATAATTATTAAAATAGACTTTTTCCAATTAACATGTTTCCGAACAGAGCAGTAAACTATACCGGTAATCCTAGGTTTTAATGATGATGTTGTTGTTGTTGTTTATGCCACTCAAGGAAACCTAACAACATCTTGCAAATCTCAATACCTATTCTACCACATAAACAACCCAGATGTCCCCATTTGTGGGCGATTTATAGGCTGATCCCGGCACGCAACACATGTAACAACTGCATAGCTTTAGTAAATGAAAAAAAATTTCCAAAAAATAAAAAATCAGCAATATGTGCCTATATTGGGTAGAGTTATGTTGATGGAAAGTTGTAGAAACAGAAAAAATCAGTGCAAGTGCAAAATCGCAACCCTCCTTCCCCACCCAGGCTTTCTCCAGCAACTCTCCAGTATCACAACCTTTCTATCAATCGGCATTGATGACGGTAATTGTTTCCCAGACCGGAAGGTCGACATCGTACTATCAGGGAGAATGGTGGGGGAACAAAAACGATGACCGACATGTATGGCATGTGTGTGTATGTGGGAAGTTTCAACCAGTCGAACTAACCCCTTCCCAACTTGTCTTTGAACGTTCCTTTTGAGAAGAAAACGAGCAATTAAATTCACGCTCGTCTCGCTCAACCACCCGTCTCGTCCAAGTGGCGACGCGTGTTTCCATCCGTCGAGATGTGACGGTCAACGGCACACACCACTTTCCTTCCTTCCACCCACACACGCACACACACACACACACACACGAAACAACGTCAAGAACACCCTCGGGACCACGTTATGTGGGAAACAACGCACATCAATGCTTTCCCTCCCTCCCACCGCTTCCTATTCTTCTACTGCTTCTTCTTCTTCACCCATGCCGATCCCGCGAAAACCGATATGTGGTGGTGAAGCCCATTTGCGTATAGCCTATGATAGTTTGGACGACGACGTTACCGAACCAATTGACTAACACATTAGCAGCAAAACATAGGAATATCGGGCTGAGAATTATCTGAACTCTCCGAAACTAGAAAAACACCTGGTTCAAAGTCCTACAAAAAATTTCATCAGAGAGAAATTTTTGCGTTATCGTTCGGCGATCAAAAAGGAACAGAAAGTGAGTGGGGAAGGAGAAGGGGGACTGTATCTTTCTTGACGTTTCGTTAGTAGGGAAACAAGTTCTGGACTAATTTCACCTGGATAAAAACAAAACCGAGGGAGCAACAAAATTACGGCGGGAGGTAGCGACAAAGTTCCGGAAACCGGAACTGATGAAGCCCGAACGTTGAGAGATTCAAGGTTGCATCCAGTTGTCCAGAGTTATTCTGTTGAGGTTCCTATGCCGGTGGGACCCTTCAGGTTTCGGGAAAACTCAAGTCTACAAGGGAATACCCCCATACGAAAAGAAATGAAGCACTTGTTCCCTTTGTTGTCACAAAATGTCCTCTGGAGACTCCATGATGAAAAAGGAAAAGGACATCCACTCACTACAAGTGACAGGTCTACTAGATTAATATGGATGGAGGCCTCCTACTACGACTGGAAACCGGAGAATGGATGGTTGTAGATTAGAAAAAATGGATTACTGAGAACTATTGGAACTACTAGTTCAAAGTGGAAGCGGCTCCAAGACTACAGAAAGGTCTGACGGCGAAATTGTTGTCATCTACTGAGAAACCTCGTTGGCGTCTTCGAAATGATCCAACAGCCGAAATAGGGAGCAATCACTAATTTGACGCCTGCATAGTAGGAATCATCTTTTACAAGATGGAATACTAGTATTTGAGGATGCCGAACAGAACTTTTCCCATAGATTTTCAGAAAAACTTCGTTTTCTCCGTCAACTAGCTCAAGATGACTCGATGGTGAAATAACTTCACAAAGCACATCCAACAGACTCTGGATTACATTTAAGTATGATGCTATAGTATCTTGAAGATTAACGATTATCAAAAGACGAATATTCGCAATAATGTATACGTACGACTCTCATCCCCTCCTTATTTCCAACTTATCCCCTCTACAACTCCTATAAGCCCTTCAGGTAATCGCAGATGGGGCTAAAAAAAGTAAATAAACATGGAAAACAGTTAATAGCTTATTTTCAGGACTTTTCGGCCATAATCGGAAATCAAAATGAAAACGAAAGAAAAAGAAATTGGGAAAGAATGTAGACGAAATATTGAAAAGATCTACTGAAATAAGTTAGAAAACTTTTGTTTTTTTGCAAACAAATTAGCAATATTGAGTCAAGGATTCTCAGGATACTTGTAAATCGAGGCGAAGTAGTAAAAATCATCGAAACGCCCTCTTACACTGTGTCGATCAAGCAAGAAATACTTGAAAAGAAACTTCTAAACACATGATCGGCAAATTATGACAGGGAAGATGCGGGATTGACGAGTAGCAAGCAAAATCAATAGAGATCGGTTACTAGTAAGCTGACTGAGAGATAGACAGAGAAAGCGGAACGACTTTGAGCAGCAGATTCGTGCAATAGGGAATGTGTTATACATAGTAGCTCAGCAGGAATATTGTTTGCAAACTTTCAATTAAGCTAAAGATACGGTAGAACCAGTTGCTGAAAAAGAACCCGTGTATTCAAACTGAATTCACAATTTTAGGCCTATGTTTGAGGGACCCCATGTGTGACCTACAGAATTAACTGTGGGTCAGCTGAGATCCAAATTAGGTATTGCATGTGTATGGGAAGCTAGCTATCATCGATCGCACATACAGTAACTCGTCCAATATCTTGAAAATCCAAGGATTTACCATAATGTAAAAAGTAGTCAATTGCCTTACAGATTGTCGCTTTTTTGTTGAAGCTAGTTCTTCTACATTCCATTACTGAATTAGGGGCATTTTCGATCTCTAGTTGGAATTGGAAGATTCAATTAGTGTTTTCCGGAAAATTTCCCCAATCTTACATAGCAGTATGCATATGTACATAAATCATCACTGAATTTCCTGGAGGACTTCAAACTACAGACACTACTCGAAAACGAACGGTCTTGTGTAATCGATCCACCGCACGCGGCTTTCGTGGACTATTTCCTCGTTATAGCAGTTCTTGCGTTTTTTATACAGCTCAATCGCTATGCCATTACTACTTATGGCATGATTCTATTCTTAGTTCCTTTGTTCCTGGATTTCTTTCTTGCTGCTGCGTTCTACTACCCTTCGCCCGCGGCGTTACCCTCGCCGCGACGCGACAATTTCGTTCCTACTGCACTACACCCCCGGCGAATCCTTCTGAAGGAAGCCTAACGGAGCTTTCTAGGAAGGTCCATATAAAAAGTGCAACATATCTTATGACTATTTTCATATTACTTATTGTTTATTATTATTGTTATCATTATTATTATTATTATT